TCTAGGATCTTATAGTTGGTTTCTGTTGTCTTAGACTAGGCTAGGATATTTGTATTATCTACAAACCCTAATGCTAATGTGTTTTTTAATTCTAGGAGTAGGAGTAGGTCTGCTACGAAGATAAGGAAGAGGATTAGGGAGAGTGTTAATCCTTAGGGGATTCCCTTTTTAGTTAGTATTAGGTCTGATTTGAATTTGCCTAGAATAAGCTATATTGATCTTTCCTATAGGAAGGACTAGATAAATTGGACTATCTAGTTTAGTATAGCTTTCTATTTGAGTATATATAGGAGCCTTTCGTAGGAGACATTGTTAAAGGCTCCTAAGATATTAAGGGAGAGGAGGGTTGCTACCTAGTTTTAACTATAGTACTAGATATGCTTAATCTGTTCTATAATTAGTTTTATAGCTGTTAGTGTTAACCTCTTCTTTCTTCCTCCTATCTAGCCTTTAGGAAGGATATTCCTTTCCTCGGTAAAGGTTGTTAGCCTTTTAGCGACAATTTTTTCTAGTACCTTGCCTATTATGTTAAGTAGGGCTATTAGTCTATAGGCCTTAAGCTGTATATAGTCTTCCTTCTAGGGCTTCCTTAGTACTACTGTTAGAGACTTCCTAAATAGTCTTAGGTAGTGTCCTAGTGCTAGGCTTTATAAAAAGATATTAGCTAGTGCTAGGGCTAGCCCCTTCCTATATGCTTTTAGAAGTTTGTTATAGATCTTGTCTTCTCCTAGTGCCTTGTTACCTAGAATCTTCTTTAGGATCCTTTTAATAGTTTTAGGTTTGACCTAGGTGTCTCTTAGTATACCTAGTAGTAGAGTCTCTTATTCTTTCTCCTTTATATCTAATAGGTCTACTTATACTTGTCTATAGAAGAAGTGTTGGCCTAGGGCTCTTGCTTTCCCTTCTATTGTAGTCTACATTTGTCCTTATTAGTCTATAATGTCCGGGAATTGTAGTAGTATGTCCTTATCCTATTTAGGTCTCCTTGCCTATTTAGCTATCCTCTATATCTCCTCTAGTTTCTTTGTAATTATTCCTATTATAGATCTCTATTCTTGTATCTTGTCTTTCTTAATTTAGATCTTCTTTTCCTAGTAGGCTTTGTTATAGTTGTCCTATGCTTCCTAGGTATAGGTTTGTATTTACTGCCTCCTAGCCTTCCTTGCTACTTTAACCTTCCTTATATACTTACTAGTCTAGTATAGTTGCTAGTATAGTAAGTGTTTCTTTGCTAGGGTATACTTTCTAGCTACCTGTTTCAGGATTCCTATTAGTTCTTCTACTGCCTTATTAATATCCTCTAGCCTTAGTAGGTGCTTTGTTAAGAGTTCCTCTAGTTTTAGGTCCCTTTCTAGTTCCTCCCTAATCCTGCCCTATTAGGTACCTTTCTAGTTAAGCTTCTCCTCTAGTTCCCTTTCCTAATTAGCTTAGACATTTAGCTTAATCTACACTAGGAAGTAGTCTAATAATTCTTCTAGTTCCTAGTTAACCCTGCATCTTGTAATCCTATTCCTAATCTAATATAATATAAAGTATAGGTCTAGTGTGCTACTACTTCCTCTTGCCTCCTAAGTAATTAGTCCCTTTAGGGTAACAATTTCTATTCCTTCCCTCTCTAACATATCAATTAGTCTTCCTACTAGGAAGTAGTAAGCTAGGGTAAAGTCTAAGCCCTAGAGGGGGTAGTAGAGGTTGAAATCCCTAAGTAGGATTTAGTAGGTATTCCCCTAGATAACTCTAGGTAGTCTTTCTAGGGTTTTTAGTTAGGTACTGCTTCTTGAGTCTAGTAGTAGGTTATATATATAGTGGACTTAGAGTGTACCTTAGGATGTCTCTACTTAAACTAATGTTAGGTCCCTATCCTCCTATAGTATAGCCTGCTAGGTTTCTATATCTATCTCCTTACTAATATAGATGTATATCCTTAAGGCTCCCTAGTTATAGATAATTAGGTAGTATCTTAGGTCTTTAACTATTGCTAGTCTCTTTGTATATAGGTTAAGCTAGGGCTCTTAGATTGCAATAATGTAATGTTCTTTTAGGTTTAGTGCTTAAAGGAAGCTCCTCTGTACCTTATCTTTGCTCTTATTAATATTGTACTATATAATATTCAGTAATGTTGCAGTGTTTATTAGGTTTTATCTATATTATTTCCCTATAAGTTTTCCTTTAGTCTTCCCTTACTTTAGACCAATATTTAACTAAGCTTTGTCTACCCTACTTCCTTTCCTACAATATTAAGGTATCTTAGTCTCCCTAGTTGCTAGTAACTCTCTTATACTAGTAAGGCCCTAAATGTGAACCTATTATCTTGTCTAGACCTCTTTTATAGTACTTAGCTAGGTTGCTTCTATATCTAGCTGCCCTAGCTTGTTGTATATCTTTTTAGTGTATTGATTCTAGCTTCCTTTGCCTTTCTAGCTACCTGTATTCTTACTAGGCATTCCTTCGCCTAAGAGGGGTATCTTTTAGTGCAGTATATATATCTTGCTTCTCCCTTATATGCTTTGTATTCTTTGACCTAGTAATCCCCTATATAATAGGAGCAGGTATTAGTTGTCTTTATATACTTAGCTGCTAAGTGTCTATAGTATTAACATTTAAAGCACTGCATTATCCTATAGTTGCTTCTATATATCTCTGTTTCTAATCTTTTAAAGTCCTAGAACAACCCCTAGTCTAGTACTATATTAGCTTGCTCTATACTCCCGACCTAGATAATTAGGGAAGACTGCTTCTTAGTCTCTTCGATTTTCCTTTTAATCTATGCTACTTTTGTAATCTTTAGGCCTAGGCATATAGCTTAGTTTTGTCTCTATAGGCTCTTAATATCCTATTCTTCCTTAAAGCTTCTTATTATACTATAGGCTATAATTATAAATTGCTATTAGGAGACCTTTACTGTTTTCCCTATCTTAGTTGTCTATTCTTTTTGTGTTTCTAGCTTCTTTTTGTCCTGCTCTTGTACTATAAATAGCTTAATTACCCCTTTACCTTCGTTCCTAGCCCTAATTACCTCTTTAACTATAACTCTTTTTACAATCTCTTTCCCTATAAGTCCTTAGATTTCCTTTTACTCCTATAGGTCCGTAATATAGACTCTAACTACTATCCTCGGGGGTTTTAGCGCCTCCTAACTAGCTACTACTGCCTAGGTGCGGTAGTTTAGGCTTATCTCCTATTGTTTCTTCGTAATCTTTGCTACGACTATATTAGCTACCTTTATAATTACGTAGCTTGCCTAGTTATAGATTGCTTTTAGTCCTCTAAGGAGTTCTAAGATCATTATCCTATATGCCCTCTTAGGGGTTCTTCTATCTTCCGCCTTTAGCACCTCCTCTGCCCTAGTATATAGTGCTTTCTATTCGTCCTCCCTTCCTTCTTAACTGTCTTCCCTTCGTCTCTAATTGTTCGCTACTATTTTTTCCGCTTAAAGGATTTATATAGAATTTTAGAAAAACTTAGCTAAGTACTAAATGAAATAACTAAATAGCTTACCTATATAGAAAATATTATTATATTAAAATAATAAGACTTAGTTTAATTAGAAGAAAAATCTACTTTAATAATAGCACTAATTCTAGTAGCGAGTTTAATTAGAATATAAGTAGGATATAGATAGTACTAAAATTATAAATATACTCCTATAATAAACGAATATAGATTACTAATAATATAGCCCTATATACTAGATATATACCTATATAAAAACACTACTAGATATTATTATACCTAGAATTAGATCTACTACTTAGTTCTACCTAGAACTACTCTAGTAGTATCTAGTTAGAAGTAAAGCTAGGACTATATTTGCCTTCTAGACCTATTTAGTTTCTATATAATTTCTAATTAAATTGTACTAGAATTCTTTAAGAGTCTTATTAAAGTAATTTATTTACTTAGTTATAGCTTATAAAATTATAGCGCTAGGCCTTAACTTATATATACTTCTACTTTTATACTTACTAGGCGTATCTAGTTTTAGATTTATAAGTTTTTTAGTTATTAAAGTTATCTAAAGCTATAGAAATCTACTTTATCTTTTATTCCTTTCCTATTCCTTTCCTATTCCTTTCTTATTCCTTTCCTATTCCTTTTCGATTCCTTTTCGATTCCTTTTCGATTCCTATTCGATTCCTATTCGATTCCTATTCGATTCCTATTCGATTCCTATTCGATTCCTAGTCGATTCCTAGTTAATTCCTAGTCGATTCCTAGTCGATTCCGATTAACTTTCGGCAAATGGGGCTAACTTAAGCCGAGGCTACGCACGGTCCACCGTACGGACTACTACGGCTCTATCCGATTGGTCAATTCGGTGGTCAGGTCGGTGATTTCGGTGGTCAGGATTTCTGAGTGCCCCCCTCATCAAGAGCATCACGTGAGGGTTCACAGGATATGCCAGGCCACTAGCGAGGAACGAATCCGCCAAGATGGCAGCATCGCCCCCGGCTACTGCAGAGAACTGCCCCGTCCCGCGCGATATAGAAACACGACGCCACGTCAGAGCATTTTCGTCTGGCACCTTCAAATCCATTTGCTATACATAAATCTGCGCTGTGCATGGTCCATACTGGGCGTCGGCATCGCCTCACCGTAGCATGAGCCCATTCACTGCAGTCTGTATCGACGGTATTCTGAGAGTCTCACATGACCTACAGCCTAGTCCGCTTCTTTGGTCTTTCACTAGAATAACGGCAGTCGTCAATATTAATCTGCTCTGCTTCCTCCAGTCGCTCGCTCATGGCAAAGCGTAGAATATCTCGCTTGTCTCCTGATTCTCCCCCGGGAGCAGCCGTTTCCTCAGAACAGAACACTGCCACTCAGCGACCCAGACCTGATCCTGATCCTTCGACACGCCAAAATTATGGGCCTACGTCGCCACAGATACATCTGGCCCTGTACCCGCCCCACAAAGCTCCCTTGGCGCACTGCTGCAGCAACATGTACATGCGTCCTCCCTTTCACCACCTTTCGCAGACACTACGAATGCTGCAGCCATTGTCTTTGGCCTGGCATCGGCTACCGCGAGTGCATACTCAATGTCGAGCAACAACTTCGGACTTGATGCGATGCCCGGCGCAGACATTCAGCCCACCTCGGCGAGAGTTGCGGATGCTATGAGCAGCAATGGAACTGGCAACATCGTGTCAGTCCTAGCTCAGGTCGCAGCACCACACGCCCCGAAGCCCACCGGAGAGCCAAATGCCCTGTCTGTCTTGCTTTCAGCATTACCGAGCGATGTCGTCTCATCATTTGCATCGGAGTACCACGATTTCACAAGCATAAATTTCCGGCCAGCGAGCACAGAACGACCAGAAACATCGGAACCAGGCCAACCCACATCAAGACCTTCGTCACGCCCCACAAATTTTCAGACTTCTATGCGTCCCTCTTCAAGGCCACACATGACCTCAATACCACCACTATTCACCTCAAGACCTCCAACAACATCGATTCCTGTGACATCTACTTCCACCAGCTCTTCTACGACACTGTCGACCATGACACGATCTAGCTCAACAACTTCCTCTATCGCAGCAGCGACGTCTACAGCAGCTCCGACAGCAGCTCCATCGCCGCAGCTGGCAAATGCATCTATTGCTGGCATTGCGACAGGCGTCGCTGCTGGTGCCGTTCTGACTCTCATGGCAGCATTCTTCCTTTGGAGACGTCGACAGCAAGGGAAGCCACCATTCGCCCGAAAGTCTTCTCAGCGATCAGCACCAGTGTATCCCGAAGTAGCATGGCTCTATGACCCGACACCCTCTCCGCCACCTGAAGGCGAGATGCAGGATGGACACGCATCCGAAAGAGCATTGCTAAATCCTCAGGGTGGAGCTGCAGAGATGACTCCTCTGGCTTCGGCGCCGGGAACACCTGAGTTAAGGCCTGCTCGACCGGAGAGTCCTCTGCTACCTCCCGTGATGCCAGCAGCTCGTCGCCGTTCTCCTGGTGCCTCGCCCAGCGGGTCCAATCGCAGCAGCATAGGCAGCTCGTCTGGAGGTCGTCGATCAGGAAGGAGCTCGGCAGGATCTGTGGGACGCATGGTTCCAATCTTCGAGGAGCCAAGAGTTTGAGCTATAAGCATATCTGACAACAGCATCGGCAAAGCAACGGCCTGTACTATTTTGATAGCGTTCTAGCAAGGAGTTCAGCGATGACGGAAAGCCTGAAAGGAATGGCATGCATTTGTTCGTGAGATATGGCGTTGAGGATTTGTATTGTCTATCCTGGGACAAGGATGATACCCCATCAGCATTTGAAATCAATGACCAAAATAGATCATAGATCATCGATACCTTACGGCTGCCTTCAATCTACATGACTATCTAAGGCCACCCTCCATCGTGGCATTCAAGCTCAAACTGATGCACTTTCGCTAAGGACCAGGAGCACATGATTGTACTTGGTGCAGCATCATGCGAATGGGAAGAACGGCACCGTAGGTGAAGAGAACTTATGAAAGACCGCCTCTGATCAGCCTCCAGGGGACCAGAATGTTCTCGCTCAGGTACGGCTTGTATCAAGTCCAGTCTCGAATGACGCGGTCGCGGCGAGACAGTGCTGACCAGAGGATGTGCCACACAAGCGAGGCAAGGCAAGTTGGCCTCTCTCTCTCTCTCTCTCTTCTCGTCAGTTCGGGTACCACCACTCGGAATCTCACGAATTCCCTACAACTCACGGACCAAGCCATGGTCGAAAGTACGTGTGAGTCCCCTCGCTGGACCATCGATTGCGCTTCATTGGTGAGCTCTGATCCCGGCAGTAATTTCAGCATCATTCCGTGACTTGGCCTTTGACCGCCTGTCGCAGAGCAATGGACAGCGACAGTCTTCACCACCAAACATCCGTGCTCCCTGATACAGGAGGCAAGAAACTCGCTTGGAAGCTTGCGCGGGTGTCATGAGAGTTTGTTTGTCGGAACGCCGCACTGAGCAATTTCTCAAGTCGTGAAAGCGAGTACGGCCAAGCTCACGGTAGCCCTTCTACCGCTCCGCGAAAGCCTGTTTATGGGGTGAAGCGTTGTGCACTTCAATTGCAGAGCAACAGGTCCGGTCCCGAGCCGAAGACCTCGCTTGGAAGCGGCCTTGATTGGTTTGCTCGGCGAATTCGATTCGGCGCCGGGCAGGTGGCCGATCCTTGTGGACGACCGACCGATTACTGCCTAAAGTCGAGTCGTTCTTTCTATAGACGCTCGCGTACGGAGCCTACGTTATGGCAGCTCAGTCTCGAGTTGAACCCCACAGCCGATGCGTTAACGCCAAGCGAGGAGATTGAGCGGGAACGCATTCAGGAAAAGTACCAAATCCCAGGCGAGTTCGGCCTTTGTAAGACGGACAAGTGTTCACATCCGCAGAATTGGTGAGCCGGTCTCGAGGAATTCGAGCATATACAAGTCTCCGGTCTCGATCTGGACCGCATATTTACTGCTAAAACGCCCCAGAGAACGACTATTCCTTAGCTCCTCGTAAACTGTATACATACTGATTTTCCGTCCCTTTTCCATTAGGCTGTCTCGAGTGGGTCGAGGGTACACGAGTCCCCAGTCGAGACATAGGCACTACAGTCACCAGTCCTCGCAACGAGCTAGAGCTAAATCTGCACCTAGATCTGAGAGAATCCTAGCTATTGTAGAGTATACTCACGCCTGTTCCTCTCTCGAGGTCTGCGAAGATATACGAGACTTTGATTGCAGCCAGAGCAATCATACTCAATACTCTTGTCCTTCATCTTGGACAGGCTGAGGTTGTACAGGACCAGCGTTGCGGGCATGAGTAACGCAGCGACGTGGGGTGTTCTGAATACTCGTCGTTGATCAGAAGCTGACCATCCCTTCGGAACTGAACACGATATGAATCGTGACGGCCAGAGATGCACCACTTGCGCTCATCGTGAGGATTCAAGTCGACAGTCTTAGTAGTGCAATACAGGCAGAGATCGGTGCCTTCCTGAGTGCGTAAGTCGTTCTTACGTGGGTGCTCGCACTTGTCGCAATCAAAGTCTAGTGGCGCAGCGGGAGCAATGGTGGGTGGATCATTCGAGGTTGCCGTACCTGTTGCTGGTGGCGCTGTATCCAACTCTCCTTCAGGTTCTTCTAGTCTATTTCGAGTACGCTGACGCTTTTTAGCACGATCTTCCCGAGCATGGCTCTGGGTAAGAAGGCGCTGCTGAGCTTCCTGCTCGGTCGCTTTCCGCCTGGTAGAGTACCTTCTGGAGTGACGTCGAAGTACTGAGCATGCCGCCGCTTTATTCCATGTCAAGGCGGGCGAGGAGGTGGAGGGTCGTTCAGCATACGATTCGGTCTGCCAGCACCAGCTCGAACACCACCAGCTAAGCCCTGGTTCTTCCAGTGCTTGTTGCAGGTCTTCTTGGTCTTCGGATTGCCGTTATCATCGCGGGATCCATCCCAAAACTCGGTCTTATTCTTGGTCTTGCCACAGTTGCTGCACCTCTGTGTACCACTAAGAAGCTGCTCGTCGTCCTTGTCCATAGGAAGCGCGATCTTAGAGCCAGGAATAGTAGGTCGCTGCGGTGGTTGATCGTCGCCATCGTCTCCTGCTATACCGCTGAGAGTCGCTATCTTGGACTTGGTCTTGCTCGAGGGTTGAATGTAGAATGGAAAGGAATAGCGAGAGACGGACTTACGTAACATGTTCTCGCGTTTGTTCGCGTTTGCTTCTACGCGTCGGCCCGGCAACTGACCTACAAAAAGCAACATTGTCGTCCTCGAATCGAACTAGAGCCTAAAATGCATCGAAGTCCGAGTGAGTTTGGATATCGTAAACCTGCAAGTCTGCTTACATCTACAGCATCTCTTAGGGAATCCGAAGGTATATGATATACTGATTACCACCCGAGCACCTCAGTTATTACTACTCGAAATGAGCTGAAAGTGCGAAGTACACAGCAGGTCCAGCCTTTGTGAAGCGTGCGTGAGCTCACATTTACGGCTTTATCTCGAGAATTTCGAATGGCACACTATACACCCATCGCCACCAGAGCACTACGGTCACGAGCACATGGAACGAGCTGAATGAGAAAATGCAAGAAACCAACCAAGTTTTGCATGTCATGTCTACCAAAAAAAGTGCAGTTTACCAGAGGACCAGCCTCTTTCACCAAAGAAAAAAATCGCTTAAACCCCACGGTGAAAAAAAAAACGCTCAAAAATGCCCTCTCTCTCTCCCTCTCCCCCCTAGTTCTCTCTCAGCCTAAACCGCTGCAACAACTTCCTATGAAACCACGGATCGCAAACCTGACAGTAATAATCAAGATCCTTGCCAGTCTCCTTCTTAGGCTCCTTATCCTCGCCCGTCATGCACTTCGCATGCTGCCAAACATGACACTCAGGAGTCTCGCAACCAATCCAGATCTGGCAGCCTCGAGGAGCGTTGTAGTTACCGCAGACGCAGCGAACAGGACCGTCGCCGTCGAGGATGAGTTGCTGCTCGGCGGCGGAAAAGTTGCGGCGGTCGAAGAACTCTGGGGGGAAGTCTGGATGTTGAGTGGTTGGGAGGTTGGATTTGAGATTCGAGAGGCGGAGACGAGAGGCTTCTTTGGCTTGGTCTCGGCTTCTTGGGAGGTTCTCGCCGTTGATGATCTTTTCGTAGTCCACTTCGAGGGTAGGGGGCAAGGGTTGAGCGGGCTGCTTTGCTGGGGCCTTGAGGTTTACCTTCTTGGTGGTGCGAGCGGGAGCTGCAGCAGGAGCGGGCTGTGTCTTGGCGCGCTTGCGAGGTGCTGGAGCTGGGGCTGGGGCTGGAGATGGTGCTGGGGAAGACTCAGTTGAGTCGCTGTGGTTGGATTGGATGTCGTCGCGGTCCTCGTCATGTCCATCTGCTGGTGCGGCGCGCTTGAGGCTTTGCGGCGTCTTGACTGGTACTGAAATGGGGCGATTGCCGACAGCGGCGACGCCAGAATGCGCGGAATAGTGTGGTGGCTCTGCGGAGGAGGAAGCGCTCATTTCTGGTGTGGCAGGAGTGTCTTCGCGCAAGATGGGAGTCGAAATGAAGCCAGGGTGCCATTCGTCGGCGGGATAGCCTTGGAAGTCGTCGAGAGAGTGGGTGTTGGTGGCGGTGGACAATGGGAGCAGCGGGTCAATCTCGCAGGCCAGCTCGCGAGCGCGCACCTGCTGCGCGGAGAGGACCTCTTGCTGGCCCTTGAAGACCTCTTTTCCGTCCCTCTTAATGCCAGGGAGGAGGCGGGTCAAGCCCCGAAAGGCAGGGTGCTTGCCCAGGAAGCCGAGGCGGCGCGTGGTGTACTCTTCGAGTGAGTACCACTCGTTGATCACTCGGCCATCGCCTTCGAGGCGCTTGGCCTCCGCAACTGCGGCCAGGTTGGTGGTGGCTGCCATGGTGGAGTGGCGGCGGCGGAGTTGTTGTGGTAGTGGTGGTGGTGCTGCTGCTGCTGTCCTTCTCTGGTTGATCACTTGAGGCTGCTGGTGTGCTCTCGAAGATGTGAGAAGGGTAGTGGGAATGTGAGTAAAACAGGAAGAAAATAAGAAAGTTGGCGGCTTAAGAGTCAAGACGAGATGAGACCGTGCGGAAGCTCACCTCTGAGACTATTGTTCAATTCGATGAGAATGGCACAATAGTCGTGCTATTGTGACAATAGCAGACCTCCACAAGCACCTGCCTTCTGAAATATATATGTTATTGTGCTTGTTGGGAGTCGTCGACCGCTCCACTCGTATTGTCGTTGCCGGTGAGGTTGTTTCATGTGAATGAGTGAATGTGAAAGCTTGACGTCACACTTCAACGGCGGGCATTTTCAAAAGGCAGCGGCCGCACGAAGGCATAGGGGACAATAGCAAAGCCAATCGTGAGCAACACGGTGTAGTCTTGCGGAGCTGACGTGCACGCGAGCTGCGCACTTCACGCAGATGGCGTTCCTGGCAATTCCAGCAGCTCACAGCGAGGACGGCGAGGGAGGTGGCAAGGGCGCAATCATTCTAATGACCCGAATGAGGCGTCTCGGAGCACAATATCTTCCTGCGGCAGTGGATTGGGCGTGGGTCCTGTGAAGCAAGACCACAGTAGCGGAAACATTGCAGTACGACATCTGCTTCGCCCAAAAGTACATGATGTGATGGGCGGTCTCTTGGCGGCAGGTCTGCAAGTATCAGCCAGTGTACAGATATATGGGTGAAACTCTGTGCCGCTACCTTCTTGCCATTGCTTCCATGGCCGTCGTGTTGGCGATGAGCATGTCATATGTCATAGGCACTGCGGCCTTACAGCTGCCCTCTTGAGCGTTCTTTCTGAAGCCTTTCTAGTGACAAAGCCAAGTTCCGAGCAATATGAGCTCAGCTATGGCAAGTCTGACCAAATGAGATAGACAGACATAGCGAGCCTCGGATAGTATCTCGAGAGCCGTTGTTAGGTGACGCGACCAGAAGTCGAATCTCGAGTGTGGTACTGATAAGGCCCGCGTCAAAGAGGATTCCGCTGTTCCGGACAGTGAGGCTGAAGAAGCATGGCATAATCACTATAATGACGGGAAGCTGCAAGTGACGACAGGATCCCCTGTACGGAATGCAGCACAGCATACCATGCCACGATCTACATTTATGCAAGATCCAGCCTTATTACGAGGCCCGGACACGGCATGTGCGCCGTCAACAACTGCCGTGCAGCTTCACCACCAACCAGCTCACACACGTACGTACTATGGAGTATGGACGACGTCTCAACAATCAAATTCAATCAATGTGTGCATCAATAATGCACTCTGCACTGCATCCTCCTCCACAGTCTACTCCGCATCCGAAGTCACCCCCAGATGCCGCTGTTCTCCCTACTGCAACATCTCCGCGCTCATCGACGCCGCCTTGGACCAGAATCCTGGTCGCTTAGCGAGTGCGGTACTGTGTCCGTCCCTCACGTGCATTTTGACGTGCTCTGACCTTAAATAAGCTTGCCTTCCCGCTCTGCTTCCCTGTCCTGATTCCTGGAGAATAGAGCCTCAGCACTCGCGACGTTGCCGCGGTCGCTGGCACGCAGAGCAACATCCTGAAGGACTCCCTTGGTCGAGCGATATCAGCTTCCCACACTTCTTGCATCCCTCGTGGTGCCCTCATCCGCATGCCGGATCGCCACGGTCACCAGAGATAAGAGCAGCGGCCATGGAGATGAACGCGAATGCTCGGGCACGTACCGCCCAATGGCGTACACTTTATCCACCGACGACATTCCACTAACGAACCTGAGAATACAGGAGCTCCATGAGCTGGAAAATGAGCTCCACGTCGAGCTCTTGCCGGGCACGGAGCTCATGACAGACGTCGGCTCCCATCATTTCGTAAAGGGCAAATCTCATGTTCTCGTTCCTCAACCATCCGACGACAGCCACGATCCTCTCAACTGGAGCCCATTCTGGAAATCGTGCTGTATCATAGCCGCAACCATGGTCACATTTACCCAGGGCTTTGGACCACTCGCATTGGCGCCCATGTTTCCAGCATACATCAAAGAGTTTGACTCTGATCTGCATCATGTCGTCAAGTTCACGGGCGTCTGCATCTTGGTGTTGGGTTTTAGCAATTTCATCTGGTGCGAGCTCTCGCATTGAACCGAGTCTCTCCGGCTGACACTATCTCCAGGGTGCCCATCAGCACATCGTGTGGGCGACGGCCAGTCTACATCCTTTCCCAGCTCATCTGCCTTGCCTCGTCGATATGGCGAGCGAAAGCCACAACATATGGACAATTTATGGGAGCTTGTGTACTGAATGGCATCGGTGCCGGCCCAGCAGAGACGATTCAGCCCCAAGTCATCGCTGACATATTCTTCTTGCACGATCGTGGATTTTGGAATACACTCTACTGGGTAGCCTACATGGGCAGCTTGATGGTCGGACCGGTGAGTATTACCTTTTCGGTCCATGCACTTGGCACTGACAACTGCAAAGATCGTCTCTGGAGTCATGGACCTTCATATCGGATGGCGAAGCTTTTGGTGGCTCAATGCGGGCCTCCTTGGACTATCCATCCTAATGGTTATCTTCATGTTCCCAGAAACGAAATGGCATCGTGCGCATCGCGACGAGTTCCTTACAGACAATGATGTTGTGAAGACAGTTCACACGAACTCAAAGAACTCAAGTTCTGCCGACAATGTCGAGGTTCGTGCACTATGCCACACATACAAAGGAAAATCCATTCCTTCCGTACAGGCGCTTCCCTCCCAGCGGCGCTAGAGTACGCTTACTGACTTTAATCAGGACGTCGAGAAGACCGGCATCACGGGAGTTCAAGCGGACGAAAATGCAATGTCACGACAAGACACAGCCGCCAGAGATCCGTGGCTCGGCAAAGGAGCTCCAAGCAGGCTACAGTGGGGCGTCTACACCCCAAGCCCGAACCCGCTCAAGAGCATATTCCTCGATCTCTGGATTCCGTGGAAGCTTTTCATGTTCCCGATCGTCGAATTCTCCTCCTTCGTCGTTTCCTGGTCTTGCAGCTCCTTCCTCACCATCAACCTTACACAGTCTCAGAACTTCGCCGCACCACCTTACAACTTCAGCCCGCAAAGCATTGGTTTCATGAACTTCGCTATCCTGGCAGGCGCGATCATCGGTCTCGTTACAGCTGGACCGCTCAGTGACTGGGTCAGCGCTCGCGCCACCAAGAAGAATCGCGGCATTCGCGAGCCTGAGATGAGACTGCCTGCTATGAGTACGTGTGCTACTTTCCCGCGTGAGCATACCAATGCTGATCTATTCTTTCTAGTCCCTTACGTCCTCATCATGATCCTCGGCAACTTCATCGTCGCATTTGGCTATGACCGGAAATGGTCCTGGGAAGTCATCGTTATCGTCGGCTTCGCCTGTGCTGGTCTCCAGGTCGCTGCACTTCCCGCCATGGCTACGACTTACGCTGTCGACTCTTACAAGCCTGTCGCCGGAAGTCTGATGGTTTCAATTACCGTCAATAAGAACCTGTGGGGCTACGGATTTGCCGAGTTCATCACACCTTGGGTTGTGAAGTCTGGTTTCATCCCGCCCATCATGACTAACATGAGTCTCATCACATTGTGGTGCTCTTTTGGCTTCTTGTTCTACTACTCTGGCAAGACATTCAGAAGATGGAGCAGGAATGACTCGGTGCATCGAATGTAGAAGTATCTATTACATGAACAAGGCGCATCATGACGATATATGGGAGAGCCTCATCACGATTTTTCAGTGAATCTAATGACTACCGATACCTGAACCTGACTACAATCATAGAACATGACAAGGATTAAACACTTGCACGACTTTTGCCACATCCAGTTGTTGTCTAATACTCACTGGAAGGTCCCTAGGGAATATGTGCAGTGCAGTCTTTCCGCTCAAATTTCTAGGTTCCGCTCAATGTACATATACATAGATTCCGCTCATCAATTTTTCTTTAGATTCCGCAGCGCAGCCTCGTACTGTACGGTAAATCCTGTTCGGCAGATCTATAACCTAGTTCTTTTTTTTATTAAGCTCCACGTGCCCAGGCGCATGGTAAGTATACATGGATGGAAGCCGCTGAGTACCAACCACCAACCACCAACCAACACCCAACCTCCTTTATTAGAAACCCCTGCGGAGATAATGTGGGAGAAGTACTGTATGTAGAAACTCCAAGCGGATTATTAGGGAGAATATGCTGCAGAGACACAATCCTGAAGGAATTGGCATGATGAGATAGATGAGTGGAGATTTCTGGACTGGACTGGACTGGCAACAAGTCTGGCTAATAAGAGGTGCAGATCAGTGCCCCTTGAGAATCACCGGGAGCTTTGATGATGGAACTGTTGCTTTGTATTGTTCTTGCGTTGTTGATGAGAGCGGTAGGTAGGTAGGTAGGTACCCAGCCAGTCTCAGATTTTCAGAGCACACATGCAATTTCTGAAGTTCATAAGTATGACCATGAAGCTGCCTACCTATGCAACAAGATGCCAAAATTCCCACAGAGTCCTCCTGCGACGTTACTTATGTACGCACACCATGTGAGGCTGTGAAAGTCGTGAACGTTTGCAAAAATCAGGGTATACATCTTCGTTCCTAAATGGGCTGCTCAAACAGCAGCAGCGACCTTTGGTTTGGCAAGTAGAGGGGGGTTGGTTCCCACGAGAATTCCACTATGCTTTTCAGTAGCCATACAAGTGGCGCCATTTGAAGTCTGGTCGGGATGTCAGTAGCACTTCCTCAAATCCGTGATGCTTCCTGAGCGGAGTTGGATGAGGCGTCAAGCTGGTCTGTCACCACGAAAGGAAATTGGTCCAGAAAATCGGGGGGGTTCACAAGCAAGCACAAGCAGTTGACTGTAAGCATAAGACAACAGTAGGTTACATGATATATGGCACTAACGCTCTTGAAGGACCATCATTAATGGCCGTCAGATGTTTCGACCACACATGATGAAGAAAGCTTCAGCGTTTCGCATCCGGTGGGCTTGGTGTGTTCAAGAGTGTGAACTTCGGACAGAACCACCATTGTCCAGCGGAAGCTGGCAAGACCTCGTGCGTCTACGTTGTGATGAGATATATGCAGGTAGGTCAGCTCACTTCCTCGCGCGGCTTCTTCAGACCATGCAGCTAATGGCTCTCCTTCTACAACAGTATCTGGTTCATGAGTGTCCGAATCTCTGTGAATCGACCAAATGCGATGAGGCATATTCCATCAAAGCACCCCTCAAAGGAAGAGATGTCAGGTGATATTGTAGGTACGATGAAGGACCTGCAGGGAAGAATTGTTCTCGGTTGGGTCATGAATTTTGGAAGCCGACAGTGCCATCGGGTGACGGTGGCGGACTGAGCGCTGTTGATCTCACGGCAGGAAACAATAGCTCCGGGGGGACTTCAACATCGGAGCTCGATGGTCGGAATACAGTCGTTCCCTATGCCATCCTAGGTGAGAGTTTGGACACCTCTTCAACAAGACCACAGAGCGCCAGCTGTGTGACTTATGAGCTTTTTTGGGATATCACTTGAATTCAAACCAGCTCTCTTGATCACCGATCGGCGTGCAACATGTCGACGATCATCTTTGCTCTTTCGCCTCCCAAATACTGCGTCGCGCCTTCCATCTCATCAAGTTCGAGACTGGCGTCGTAAGCTCTTCTGACCGTGTGTTCCTCGACCTTGACGCTTCCCTCGACGAGCGCTTTGATGCATCCAGCAACCCTTGCTATCTCCCTCCTCGTGTCCGGGCTGATTTCATCATTCTGGGTCGAATACATGCCGATGCTGGCAGTCTCCTCAAGGCGATTGATACCGACATCTTGGCTCGACTGCTCTTGCACATGCTTCTCGATCCACACATATCCATTGACGCCCAGCATGACATCCACCTCTCCTCCACGGCTCGTCTGCAATGTGAAGATCTGCCTCTTGCTCCTCACGACACCCATGCCTCCGCCCATGCCACTAACAGCCATGAAGTATCCATTTCTCAGCTTTCCATATTTCAGAGAGCGCGTGTGCAATGCCGCGCTTCCGTCGTGGAATAAGTTCTGCACCTCAGCCACAATCAATTCTCCCTCTCCAAAGAATGAGCGAATGTTCAGCTCATCTACGCTCGTTCGCTTCCGCAGCGCTCCGCCGGGTAAATTGATAGAGCTCAGCTGTAGGACTGCCAACACTGGCGCCGCAACATCAACTTTCCATCTCCTGCTCTGGACCTCCACAATTCTGCCAATCACCAAGTCTCCGACCTCAGGATTATATCGTGCTCGCAAAGGCACGACCGAAATGAGTTTGTTGGTTTTCTGAATTGTGCCGGCCAGTGTTGAACGAATTGCGGCGGCGGTGTCGTCTGCGGCGGCGAATGTTCCATGGCCGCGCATCCATTGAGGGTCTGTGGTAATGATCTGGCCTGGCGTCATGATGTGGGTGGATTGTGAGTGGCCAGACGGGAGGTTGTCAATGTCCATGGAATCGCCATCCTCGGAGGGGTCATCGTAATCTTGGCCGTGGGCGTTTGTTGGGGGTGCCGCTGGTGTCGGCGGCAATATCGTTATAGCCATGGCGTTGTGTACAAGTTCAAGTTTCACATGCAAAATAATTCAAGGCGATGTACGTCAGATCCCGGTCCCGGTCGACAAGCGCGTGGGGCTGGGGCTGGGGCTGGGGCGGAGACAGGACGTGAATGCTTGACTTCGACCTTTTATTACCTTCGACACCACCATCCACATTTCTACGGCAATATTCTCGCCGTCATCAAGCACGAGCCGGTATGAGCTCTATTCTACATTGCATATCGCATTGAGCTATTGTTCTTCTGGCAGCGTAAACTCGACGCGATGTAGGCGTTACGTATTTTCTATGCGACACTAAGAGGAACTAACTGTATAGCAGCAACACTAGGTTAGATGCTTGCATTTCTATAGATAGATAGGAGACATCCGGTAGGCGTACAGTCTCGATGCCTTAACCTTCCCCTCCTCTTATCTCTAGCCCGGTACTTGCAAAATCGCCTATCTTGCGCTAATATATATTTCGACCGTAGGCGATAATAAGCAGTAAAAAACTGCGTACCGCAGATACTATCTCTTAAGCATTAGCATAACAACTACGAAATCTACTCCTAGCGTAACTAAGGATAGTATCGAACCTTAAGTTTTCGATTAAGGGGCTATCTACGAGAAAGACGATAAACGAGAAGCTTATAAGATCTTCTAGAAATCTATAGATAGCGTAGAATCTCGCACTATATTATAGCCTAAAGCACGGTCGTTTATTATATTACGTATAGCGCAGTAGATTACTTATATAATACTACATTGCCGGCGGTTGAATTAGCTTCGTTAATTGCCTATATTCTGCTCTATTCTATAGTCTAAAATATAGTGTAAAAATTCTTTAAGCTAAGAAGTTACGTATCTGTTATATAATTGAGCTAACGCGTTACATACCCCCTTAGCTTATACAAAAGGGTTTTAGGTAAGGTAGTTAATGCTTCTTTATATACAAACAAAAGAAAATTAATCCTTTTAACTCCTTATATAGTGCTTTATTAAAACACTAAAAAAAAATAGTTTGAATCTACACTATATATAAGAGAGTCTTATTTCATATCCCGATTACCCTAGAAGGATATCGTTATATAATCCGGACTGCATATGCACCTTTATATATAGTCCCTATTACTAGGAACTGTTGTCTTCCTACGTAGTCTAAGCACAGACCGACACTATTAAGCCTTATCTAAGTACTCGTATCGTACAGTAAAGTTAGTTTAGCTAAACTGAGCCCGTTACATTATTACTATCGGTTATTATATCAATCGCATAGGTAGCGTCTATTTGATTAGATAAAGGATTAGGTAAGATATACATTAGTTAAACAGATTTGATAAATTAGGATAGGTAACTTAACTAAGGACGCCACCCTTAGCTAAGACTACTACACTATTATTACTAGCACTAATACAATCGCCGCAGACTTGTTATTAGTTAGTAGAAGTAACGTTCGAAGTAATAATATAGGCGACAGTAACGTACCCCGCAAAGTGAGGTTTCCTATGCTATTTGTTTAGTCTATATTAGAAGGTAAGGTTAAATCCTTTATTCTAATTAGTCGTCGTTATCGTATTAGACACTTTTGCTAGCGCCAATCGATAAAGGTATGCTTAATCGACTTAGTTATAATTAATAGGGGGGGGCGCCTACTACCTATTATATAGAGTTATCTTCGTATTGCTAAAGAGGAAGAGGTTGTTAGAGGAAGAGTTGCTTCCTTATATACCCCTATAACTATACATCTTAGTTAGTTGTTAGGTTAGGTAGTTTAGTTAGTCTCAGCTGTTTAATAAACCTCTTCTAGTTCTAAGGGCTATAGAGCTTAGTTATTCTATCGGCTAGCATGTCCTATATAGCTAGGTATTCGCATTAAATCCTTCTAGCCTTATGTTCTTACCTTAGCTAGCACTAGTGAATATCTACATAGCGGAGCTTCGTGTCTAGTTTGCTAGCATTAGCCTTAATAATGCGGATAGTCTGTATATTATTATAGTATAGCATAGGAATGCTGTTTAAGGTAAGGCCAATATTGTTAAAGAAACGCTTCTACTAGATCAATTCTAAGCCTATATATAAGGCAGCTAGCAGTTCAGCTTTAGTCGTAGATTTAGTAATAGTTAACTGTCGTGCTACCTTCTAATTAACTAGTCTATTAAATAGGCTAAATATCCATCCCTCTAATAACTATCTCGTCCCCTTATAGTTACTATAGGATGCGTTAGAAGCTCCGTAGAATTCATAAAGCTATTAGCTTGAATAAGTAGTAATTGTTGGTCCGTTTGCGTTATACTCTAAGTATAGGTCCTTCGTGTTTAGTAGGTACCTAATGCACTAGTCTGCTGCTGCTATGTCTTCTGTCCGCGGGTTCTATAGAGCCTTAGACAACAAGGACACTGCCTTAGCTATGTCTAGCCTAGTTTGAACTGCTACAAAGTTGAGTGACCCTATACGGCTTTAGTAGGCTAGGATTGCTAATAGATTAATTCGAGCAGAGTTATCTTCACTAGAAGTTGGTTTCTTATATAGCTCGTATCTAGTTAGCAAGGGTGCTTTAGCTCTTCGACTAGCTATTGCGATACTGTATCTTTAAGCTATCTTCTCGGTATATGCCTTCTAAGACAGCTATAGTTTCCTATTCTGCCTGTCGCGTATAATTTCAATGCTAAGGAACTATAAGAGCTTTCCTAGGTTACTAATTTCATATTCCTTTATTAACTTCTGCTTAAGGTCTATTGCCTTTTATATATGCTAGCGGTAATACAACAGTACAATGTCGTCTACGTAGAAGAAGATAAATACCTGTTTATCTAGGTCGGTGTATAGGCAGTCTATATTGTCTACTAGTTGCATGCTAAGTTTGTTTTCTAGTGTTATAGTGAAGTGGTTATACTATAGCCGAGGTGACTCCTATAGACTATAGAGTACTTAGATTAGTTTTAATACCTTGCCCTTCTGCTTAAAACTATTAGGCGGCCTAAGGTATAGCGTATATAGGAATATAGTATTAAGGAAGGCATTAACTGCATCCATTTACTTAGCTTCTAGGTCAAACTTAGCTACGATAGCTATAAGGGCTCTAAAAACTCGTACAGCTAGTGTTAAGGCATAGGTGTCTAAGTGTATGTTCTTCTAAAGGTCCCCTCTTACATACACTCTTGCTTTGAACTTAATCAGACGACTATTAGCATCACCCTTGTATTTAAATACCTAGGTAAGAGGCAGAAGGTTAGGCTTATCTAGTGTGTTTAGATCCACCTATTTAAAGGTACGTGTCTTTAGTGCCTTATTAAATTCAACTCTTGTAGCATGTATCTAATGTTCCTTAAACCGGCTCTTAAGTACCTGTCGCTAGTTACGTAGCTCTGCTAGTAGGTCTAAGACCTTCGGTGCAAGGGTTAGATCGCTCTCGTCTCGTAGAAGTAGTAGCGCTAGTAGGTCTAGTAAATTAGACTTATTAGATCGAGTAGGCTATATAAAGCGTGCTTTATGCTCGGCGGCTATACAAAGGTTGCTAAATAGAAGGAGGTTTCTCGCTTGTTCTCGGTCGCTAATATAGTAACGACCGTATCGGTAGATAGCCGCTACTCGCTATCGTTTGTTTAGGTTGTTAACTCGATAATGCGGCCCTCCTATATTTAGGGAGTAACGATGAGATACATTAGCGGCTTCAATTAGCATTAGCAATTCAGCTAGCTTAGTACGTAGCAAGTTGAAGTCTATATTATCTGTATAACCTAGTGCGTCCACTTCGTTAGTAGGGGCTTTATTGCTAGCATCGTTCTTAGGTTGTAGTTGCTAATTAATAGTTAGTTCTATTAATCTATCTAGTATATTATTACGCGGTTATAGTATTTCGCGTAGATCAATTGGAAAGTCTCGTTTCTATATAGGCACCTATGCAAGCTGCAGCTTAGCTAGTGCTAGTAGTTGAGGTAGTAGTAGTTCTAGTCTAATAGGGTTATCTGTTAGCTTATTAACTATTATAAGTCGACTAGGCCCTATTAGTGTATCTACCCCCTTAGCTCCAAACCTAACAAGGTCTAGAGGTGTGTCGTAGGCTTCTCGAAGTTCGTTAAACTAATGCTCCGAGGCGGGTGCTTATGCTTCTTCGAGATTACTATATTCTTCTACAAGCTCTTAGTTAGTTATAACAACACCTAGGTCGTTATTGTAGCCGTTATAGAACTTGGTTTCGTTAAATATAATATCTCTTATGCGTAGTACTGTTATCTTCGAGGGCACCTATATCCTATAGATAGAGTGTCCCTTATAACTATATAGGTACCTAATGTAGGTCCGTAAGGCTACTTTTATAGTATTTAGCAGTATAGCCTTCCTTTTGCTATTGCTATTAGCTGTCTCTATGCCGTAGATTACTAGATATGCCCTTACACTAAACTAGTAGATATAGGCTACATTTGGCTTATAGCTAGTGCTAATCTTATATAGTGTTCGCATTAGTAGGTTAGCGGTTCGAGACCTTAGTAATCTATTAGCGAGGAAGGTAGCTGCATAAACTGCTTCTAGCTATAGGTTATGAGGGAACCTAGCATATATTATTAAGGCTCGAGCTACCTTAATAATAGTACGGCCTGCTCGCTTAGCTAGGTCCTATTCTAATATATACGGGGCTGTTAGCCTCTATATAGTATAATTATTGCGCAAGTAGGACCGAAAGCGAAGGCCTAAAATTCCTCCTTTATTGTTAGATAATAGGCATATAATGTCTCTGCCAATGCTGCGTACGAAGGTAGCTATTTAGTTCTAGCATTGTAGGAGAGTTGATTCCTAGCGATTGTTAATAGTCTATGTAAAATGAAGTCTAGTATTCAGGTCGTATACGTAAAAGATATACTAGTCTCTATTATAGGCTGGATCTAGCTACATTAGGTCGGCTATAATGTATCTATATAGAGTTAGTATTGACACATTATAGTGCCTTAGTCTCCTAGAAATGAGCCTCTTTCCCTTTGCTTATATACATATAGGACAAAGCGGTGTTCTTAGTACCTTATTGTTATGTGTGTAATCTCTTGTTAAGTTGTTATTCTATTAACCCTATCTATAAGCTCTTACGCTCTCTTAGAGCCGAGATGTCTAAATACTTTATATATTTGTTTAAGGGTGAGCTTCCTTAGCGGTAGTAGGCGTACGGAGCGACGAGCTGTTACGTAGGCTAATAGTATAGTTGTCGACTGTGCTAGTTAGAAGGGGTATAGGTATAGCTTGCCTTTATCCCCTATTAGCTATTCGAGCGGGGGTTTACTATCTGCTTTATAGGTAATATCGAAATAGGGCATATAGTTGTTAGGTCTAATAAGAGGGACTAGTAGTTTCCCCTATAGGTTGTAGAGAACATTATTAAGCTTATTATGCTTAAACCTACGGTAATAGAAGATTGCCCCTCTAATAATATTAGTATAGAAATTAGGGACATAGAGGCACTCTTTTAGCTTAATAGTTAGGGGTTTACCTACTACTAACTTGACAGTAAAGGATGCCCTTCTAATAGCGATAACTTTGTTATATCTAGTTCCTATTGCAATAGTAGCTCGCGGAGGAATAAACATTGCCTAAAAGTTGAAGCGACTAGGGTAGTTAACAATGTTATAGTTAGACCTACTATCGTATATAAGGCTAACAAAGGGATTCTATTTCTTGCCCCTTGTAGCTATTAACAGATAGGTAGTTAGTATAAGGGTAACTAAGGCGAAGGCTAATAGGTCTAGAGTGTCAGGTTTAAAGAAGTAGGCTAGCGAGACTTTGTCTAATCCATTTCCTATTCTAGTATCGTCTCTATCTTTAGCCGAAAGTCTATAGTATTGCTATGTAATCTTAATAGCTAGTAGGTCCTTAAAGAACTTAGCTTATCTTAGGCAGAACCCTTTGTTCTTACGTAGGTAGGACTCGAAGTACTTTAGTTTTCCTTTCTACTTATTATCCTTATCCTTCTTTTTAACCTGTTCTCGAAGGCGGTAGTTTACTATAGTGCATTTGCCGCGGTTTTTATATGCCTTCTTCTCGCCCACTCTAGTAAGCTTAGTATATGTCTTTAGTGTACGGTTGCTACTATTACTGCGGCCCTTGTTCTTATTAGGTTTGTCGTTGTCGTCTGCAGCTTATAGGGCGGCGTTAGTACTAGCTTCACCTTCTTCGTAGATAATACTAAAAGATAAACCCTTCTTCGTAGAAGTACCTAGTATATTACGGGCATATTCTCGTACTATACTAATAAGTTAATAGAAGTTGTTAACCGATAGCCCTACCTAGTGCATTATATAGAGCCCTTTGCTATAGGTCTTATCTACATTTGTAACTATAGTGCACAGGTGGGTTACTAAGTTGTCAAATTCCGGGTGTTGTATACGTTTTATTGTCTTATAAAGATTAAGCCATTCCTTACATTAGTACTCGGGGTCCTTTACCTGCTTAGAATTTACAAGGCGGTAAAGCTCCTTACTAAGGGCAGTCCTTTGCTATTAAGTATTAGGTATAAGCTTGTTCTTTAATCGAGTTAGAATAAGCCGCATAGTTAGTACTACGTTGTCTATATTAGGATTAGTAATCTCTGAATGATAGCGAATGTCTATAGTTGTAGCTAGATATTTAATTGTCTTATTACGAGCTGTCCTAAAGCGTTCAAACTCCGCCTTCCTTATATTAAAGTGTTCCTTAGTAAGCTTTGCCCTAGCCTAATATAGGGGGTTGCTTATAAGTTGTTCTATATCGAATTCCGGGAGAAGGGGTTGTGCTAGTTCAGTTAGCTTAGTCGAATATAGGTTAGTAAGGACCTAGGTCTTATATCTAGTTAGGTATGTCTTAGTTTGCTTAAACTATCGATCCTAATTATTAGGTCTACGAAGGATAATAAGCTTGCTACTACCGAGGCGACTAGCTAATAAGAGGGCTATTAAGGATATACTAAATTCGAAACGATTATAGAGGCTTATAGAAGCTTAAATAGTTGTTTTCTTATAGTGCCGTTAAGACTGTCGATTGTTAAAGGTCTCGTAGAATAGAAAATTCTTTCCTACTATAGAAGTCTCTAACACCGCGGATTAAATCCGGGCTTATAACTATTACGTACAGCGTAGTAGATTACTTACGTAATACTGCATTGCCGGCGGTTGAATTGGCTTCGTTAATTGCCTATATTCTGCTCTATTCTATAGTCTAAAATACAGTGTAAAAATTCTTCAAGCTAAGAAGTTACGTGTCTATTATATAATTGAGCTAACGCGTTACACATTAGACCACTTAGCTTGCATCCAACCTAGTCTTAGGCGTTTCTCGGTTTCATTATTGCCGAAGCAGTGCCAATCCTCAATTATCTTCTAGGTCTAGCAGCTTCGCTCTGCTTTACACCGTTCTCGCTAATCTTCCCTACTCTACTCTGGATGTATGACTACAGAGGCTATCACTCCGGAAGTGCGGGCCAGAAAGTCGTCTATAGCCTCCACATTGCAATCTTCCTAGTCGGACTTTTCATAGTGGTTGGCGGAACGTGAGTAAATCGAAATTTGGAACCGTTACATTTGTACTAACTTCGCCTTCGCAGATATGGTGTGGCTTTGTCCATCAAAGAAGCCTACGCTACCGGTATCATTGGCAGGGCGTTCGACTGCTCGGACAATTCTGGATCTGTAGCAAAGGCTTGAGAAATCACACAGTTGACGCTCACATACAATCAAGACTTTTTGACTCATGCGACTTTCTCCTCTTGCCCCCTGCCTGCTTCCTTCGCACTTTTCTCCTCCTCCATCTTTCTGTAAAACGCTTTTCCTCTCTCTTCGAAAGCCCTCATCGCCTCAGGATCCATGAGCATCTCCCTCTGATGCTTATCTGGCACCTGTCTGCCCTTCTGCACACCCGGCCTGTCGAACATCCGCTCTTCCCACGCTCTGAGCGCAGGGAATGCATCCAAAGGACTCTTCGGATAGTCTTCGCCACCCAGCGACCATCGCGCGAGTGCGATCCAGCCCCAGTGGGCGATGTCGGCGATGGTACACTTCTCGCCCACCAGCATAGTTGTTGATTGTTGATTAATCACAATCACATGGCGAATATCACAATCACAACTGATTGTGAGTGATTAACTATATAATCAAATCATACAATTAGTGCTAGTAGTGGTTATAGTTGAGAAGGAGGTGTATTTACATGCTCTTAGCGTAGTTAACGATTAACACACTATATCTAGCCGCTAGGTCGTTGTCTTCCGCCTCTTCTAATAATGCTAGCTCTTACAATAGTATATCTATAACGAGGCCTGTTCTTAGCTAATTCTTTGAACACTCACTTATCCGAATATAGTTACTACTAAGTTGTAAGCGCTCCTATAATATAGTGCGGCGGCTCTAACTAAAGGTCCGTTCTAACTCGGCTAATATACTAAAGGCTAACAATACATTAATAGCTAGTTGTGCGAGCGCTCGGTTTAAAGGTCGTTATTGTAGCTACTACTTAATAGCGGTTATATAGACTAGCCTGTTCTTGCTATCCTTGCCTATAATAGGTAATATAGTAGGTATCGCTTAAATAAAGGTCTCGAAGGGGTCTTTATTAGTAGCAACTAGGTTAGTTTAAGACTCAATTTGCTATCGCTCGAGAGCAGTAAGACCTTCTAAATTGCCTTTAGAAGTAGACGGCTAAGGGCTTCTATAGCGGCTATTATAGTCTTTCTATAGCAACCTTCTAAGGTCTAATAAGGTCTTAATGTCTACCTCCGAGCGCTTCTTAAGCTAGGCAAGTCGACGAGTTAGATATAGAAGTACTGCTATTATATAGACGGCTGTCTATTAGTTAAGACTATAGTACTTATTAAATAGCTATCTTGCAAGGCGGATTAAGCGGACAAGAGGCTTACGCCGTACGTTGTATTCGGCTAATTAAGTGAGATAGCTTCTTATATATTCTATAGCTTCTTAATATATATCTAGTATAATAGTATAGCCTTACAGCTTAAGAGTAACCTCCTTAAAGGGCACAAGGAAGTTATAAGTATACTATAGAACCGAGTACTCGTCGCTAGTAAGCTAAGCCTCTCGTAGATACGGCATCCTATCGAAGAAGCTGTTTAGAATTGGCCTTGTTTAAAGGGCTTCTTCTATTATAAGAAGCCATCTATTCTAGCGCGTCTCTCCTAGAATCTTAGGTATTAAATAAGGCAGTTAAGGCTACGATTTATATACCTCCTTAAAGACGTTGAAGTTGTCGTTCGTCCGTAATAGCTTAGCGAGTGCGAATAGCCGTTATAATAGCCCTTGTTTAGTAAAGGAGTCTACGTCTATGTCTAACTACCTAGAAATAGATACAGTATCGCTATCCTCTATTACTGTCTAGTTAAACTCTTTACTCTTAGCAGACTCCTTGTCCTTAGTAAATATAAAGGCTTGTGTTATCCGATTAATAATATAGCTAATATAGCGGAGTTAACGGTCCTTCTAGTAGTTAAAGCTAGCCTGTCGTATATAGCCCTCGATAGATTTATAGAGCGTGCTATTAGCAGAGGCATTGTTAGCAGTTAACTAGCCAATCTTGCTAGTTATACTAAAGACCTAGAAGTAAGGTATAATAAGCTAAGCGAGGAAGTTACTTATATATAAGCCGACCGGAAGTTGTAGCAAATCTAATAGTACTTGAACGAGCCTACCCTTCTTATCTATATACTAGCAATTAATAGCTTGGAAGTGCTTCTTGCTATATTAAGCCTTCTATATATTAGTACTAAAGTAGAGACAGCTTATAGTACTAAGAAGGCGCTGTTTAACTCGTTCTCGCTAGCTCTCGAAGTTGTAAAGAATATAGGCATATAGCGACGTATACGAGCGTAGAAGTACGTAGTCGGCTTATAGATTAGCCGTTAGAATAAGGTCTCTAAACTCCTTAGAAACAAGGGCGTTATAAGAGATGCTAAGTCCTATAGCAAAGCGAGCGAGGGTATAGCGGAAGGCCTTCTTGTCGATAGCGTTCTTAAGGATATTAATCGTCTTCTAAGCCTCTATATCCTCGTTCTTCCGCTAGATAGACAAGAAGTTAAGCTGTATCTGTTTCTTGCTATTGTCTTCCTTCTCTTTTATACGACTAACGATAATCTAATACTTATAGAATAGGTATTTAGCGGCGTTGCTAGATTATAACTAAAAGCGCTCTAGATCGTTGTCCGAATAGTGTCTGCAATAGAACACCTTATAGCGGCTGTTCTTTAGTCTCTTAGGCTCCTTATCCTTTAGAGGCCGCGAATAAGACTATAACTCCGGATCGCGCCTATTGCTCGCTCTTTTCCTTTTTTCTAATAGTATCGGGGTCGGTGTTAGCTATATAGGTGTTACTAAGGACGATAATAACTATATAGGAAGGAATAACAGGTTAGGTATTAGTCGAGGTAGTAGTTAACTTAGTAGCGTAGGATTTGGTATCTCTCCGGCTTTATTATCTTCGAGGTCGCTAAGATCGCTAGAATCTTATATAAATAGTATCCGTTGTCTATCGTGCGTTTCCCGTTATGTTTCTTAGCTCTTACGGAAGTTTTCTAAGCGCCGCTATAAAGGCTTAGGGTTTTTGCGTGTCTCTACTATAGTAAGGAAATAGTAGAAGTTATAAAAGAATAGAGGTTTGGAAAATTTGAGTTTAGTAGTGCTTACTAAGGTTCAAGGCGCGAGCCGAAGCCGCTCGGTTAGTAGACTCCGGAGGCTCCTATTAGGCTTTAAAGACCCTAAATAATATAATTAATAGGAACAGGTAACTAGAATACCGACAAGTCCTACTATTCTACTATTCTAATCCTTTATAACACCCTTAATACTACTATTACTACTACTAATACACTCCTTTCCGAAAGCTTTAATAGCTAAGGCATTACGAGTACGTTATATAGCGAGCTCGGCCTTTAATTCGCATTCCTCGCCTATACGTAGTATATACGACTAGCAAGTATAGGGGTTACTAAATCTAAAGTGCTTCGCCCTCTCTTCGACCCTCTATATACACTTACGACAGACCTCGTAGCGATAGTCGGTTAGATATACGGCTATATAGTTGCCCTTCTTGCGGATATAATTATCGAAGGCTTCTTACTTCTTAGTAAAGACGTCGAGCTCGGCATTCTTCGTAATTAGTCGGTGTTCTACGCCTTCGTATTCCTTTAGAATAAGGCGAGACTCTTATAACAACCCTTCTATAACCGTCTACTAAGCCCCTATTTCCTTATACTATTAATCGAGCTAATCCTAACCTTTTACCGTCTTCTTAGGGTTCTAACGAAGCCTCTTAGCAACCGGTTATTCTTGTTCTTTATTAGAAGCGCTAGATACACTGTTAGCGATAGACGACTTCTCGATAGGCGGCTTATTATCTACTAATTAAGTCTAAGTCTATAGCGGCGGCAGCGGTAGTAGCGATAATAAGGTGTCTATAACCTCCGATTTAGGCTCGCTATCTGATAGCTATACGATTAGCTATAGCAGTCGCTAGTATTCGCTGTTTACCTACCTCGATTACTTCTATGCGCTTCTAACCTATCGTTAGTACGAAATTGTATAAGGAAAGAGGTAGAAATACGATAATTTATAGGATCTATATACGCCGCAGTATTGCTATTCTCTCCCTAAGAAACACCGAGTAATTAACTGATTATAATTACAATTACATGCTTAGCAATCACATTCACAATTAATGTGATTGTGAGTAATTATATAATTAATCTAATCAACAATCAACAACTATGCCCACCAGATACGGATGCGCACTATCGCGAAGATGCTTGTCAAGAACACTATACAGCCTCTTGGTCTCCGTTTGGTACCGCTCGATGGCATACGGCACCTGTTCGCCCGCGTATCTAAAGAAATGATTTGCCTGACCTTGCATTGGGCCCACTCCTGAATTCGAAAATCCGCGAGTCAATCACCCACCCCGAACCGAAGCATTCCTCCTACTCACCCGAATTCATGAAGAAAAGCCAATTGTTAGTCTCAACCCACTCTCGGGAGCCTCGTGGGTACGAGATCCTATGCTCTGGATCATGCCTCTCAACAAGATACTGCATGATACTTCCGCTCTCGAAGACGCAGATCTCCTCGCCGTCTGAGAAGGTATCGGCTATGGCTGGGATCCTCATGTTGGGGTTGATTTTTTCGAACCATTCGGACTTTTGTTCGTTGTTGGCGACATCGACTTTGCGGACTGTGTATGGGATGCCGAGTTCTTCAAGAGTGATTGAGATTTTGATGCCGTTGGCTGGAAGAGAAGGTCAGCGGACAGTCGAAAACATTCGGGGGAAAAGCTCACGCGTTTGCCCGGTGTAGAGCGTGATGTTTGAAGAGGACATCCTGGACACGAACCCAAATAGTGAGTGCCTGTATTGAAGACGTACGATCTAAAAATGCTTAGGTCGACCAGTGATGCCCTCGCGGGGTTCCTGCAGAATCCTTCGACTCCGTGGCATTAGTCAGCATGTCGAGCAAGATATCGACCACAATCGTTTGCAGTGCTGCCTCCTTGTCCCAAGTAACTCAGACCAATCGCTACTTCCGGTTCATCCCCTCCGGATCGAACGCAAGTAGCAAAGGCAGGGAAGATACGCACCCTCCTGGACGGATGAACTCGTCCCGGTCTCGTTTATTACATTTGATAGGGATGCTACCATTGCACCACAGGACCATTTTGATCTGTATCTGATGTCTGCACCGCGAAGTGGTCTGTGCGCTTGAGTTGCATGTGATGAACATGGATGCGGCTTGCTCTGGCTTCAAGAGTATAATGGAAAGACTTGTCAGATGGCAAAAGGAAACCTCAAGGTGGCATATAGATTACAGAGGCCGAAGAAGTCAAGCTGGATCAACTGAGTTCGTACTAGACAACAGAGCTATCTCAAGACATTAAAATTGTATTTGCGGGCTGGCGGTGACCAGTCAAAGTCCAAGTGCTTTCCCTCCTTTCCGATTGTGCGCTTTACTACTATAATCTCACAAGAAAGCCACGACAGCCAAGCCAGCCCCAAGCAAGCCTCCGGCGACAGCAAGCGGAGCTTTGCTCTGCACTGCACCAGCTTCGAGAGTAGTGCCCGTACCTGTCGCAGTGATAGTCGGACTGCGAGTAGCTTCGGCAGTGGTTGCAGAAGTGATTGTCGATCCAGCAGCTACACAAATATCATCAGAATCCTGATCCCATCCTCCATAAATGTGTCTTACTCACCATTGGTCGTGACAATCGCGCCAGCTTCGCTCGTGATCGTGGAAACAATGGATCCGGCCGCATTAGTCGCCACGGTGTAAACACTATTGCCAACGGAAGTGACGAAAGTATAGATCTCGCCGTTGATCGACGTGGCTTCGCTGTAGAGGCTTCCAGCAATCGCAGTGGCGAGAGAATATTGTGATCCAGCGATTGACGTTGCTTCGCTCCAGATTTTGGGACCGACGGCCTAGAAGAAATTTATGATCAGCGATGTGGCGGAGCACGAGAATTCGGGCGTATATGCTTACAGCAGCTATGCTCGCTGCGTTCTCACCGTACACCGAAGCGATGCTGGCGGCTGCTTCTGCAGCTGTCTGTCCGGCACGAATACCGGCGTCAGCAGCACTTTGATCCGCTTGAGCAGCTTGGTTGGCAGCATCTTGAGCTGCTTGAGCGGCATTCTCACCAGCTTGTGTGCCTTGGTTGGCGGCATTGATTCCTGCGTTTGCTGCATCTTGTCCAGCTTGGATGGCTGCGTTGACGGCGTCGATACCTGCTTGGACTGCTGGGTCCTGATCTGCCAGAGAGCAGGCGCTCAAGGCGAGGAGAAGCTTGATAGGAGTAGGCAGAATCATCTTGAATGTATCCTTCTGGCTTTCCGATATGAGAATGGTGGTCGCTCAGATTTGAAGAGTACTGCTATAGAGCTATCAGTGGCTCTTTCGATACTTTGCTCTCGATGGTTGTCATGATGCATTTCGCCACAGAACAGACTTGATATAAACAGTGAAGTCGCGGCAGAGACACGACAGCGCACGAGTGCGAAGCCCAGCGAGTGGTTCATCTTCGCATGCCTGAACAGCTGAGCCTACAAAAGCCACAGGCACGCTTACGTAGATACTAGGATGCTTCTTGCTGATGTGCTGATGAGCCAAGGACTGAACGAAAGCGGACGAGGCGCCATCCGAGTCCCCTGTGCATCGGCTCGAGTATAAGCTCTGGCAGAAGCTTGAACGAAGCTTGAACGACGACTGTCCCGAAAGCGTTCCAGGCTGAGCTTTGAAACCACAACATCTTTTTATATGTCGACGGTAAATTTGGTATGTAACTCAGCAAGAGCAATTCGCATCATAGCATTGAGTTTCTAGAGCTTTTTGAGTCTATCCGGCCTAGGCCTTCAAAGTCATCGACCGGGTCATCATGTCATTAGAGTCAATTGACGTTCTGGGTCCTGCTAAAGCGCCTTGGACGGATAAGTCACTTGTGAAGACTTGACCCTATCGGCTGGTCATCTGCAACACATCAAATAGCGACTCCGCCAAGCTCCACTCCCGATGGCCGAAGCTTTGTATTTCACGGATTTCATGGAGACGGGCCACGGACATCTCAAATGTAAGACTGAGCCTCAGAGAATGAGGTGGAATACTTGCCAATGTGAGCTGAAGTCCGCCCTGCGGAATGTCTTATTCCGGATCGCCGTTCAATCCCGGCAGATTGTGTCCCATGATCCTGGCATAAAACCATCTTCACACTTTTTCATGTTTCTCGACGCTGATGATGTGGTCTTTCATCGTACTAGGTAACTCCATGTCGTCTGCCGTGACGTCGAAATCTTTGCGCAAGCCAGCGAAGCCAGGTCTCACGAACAGATAGTCGACTTGCTCGAGAGTCTTACCGCCCGTCTCAGGGCATAGAAAGAACACGAAAATGATTGCAACGACGTTGCCGCTGATTACCCAGAGCCAGAAGTACCAGCCAATATGATCGAATCCGATCGGGCCGGCAAAAACAGTTATGAAAGTCATGAGCCACTCGCCGAAAGCAGTTGCGGCAGCGCCAATATGCCGATATTCCAGGGGTGCAATCTCAGCACAGTACAGCCAGACACATCCTTGCCAGCTCCATCCGAAGACAAACAAGAAAAAAAAGATGAATGACACCGCTGTCCATCCAATCGATTCTATATCAGCTCCAGTTGCGACTAGAGCAGTGAAGATGGTGATGAGGACGGTCATGGCCATAGCTCCATAAAGCAGGATCGACCTTCGCCCCACTTTCTCGACGGTGAAGTACAACGGGACACATCCGAGGGCGAAGAAGATGTTCAAGACTCCAGATAAAAGTGACACAAGTGAAGGCTTGGCAACTGTCGAGAGGATGATGCTGCTGTAGTAGGCGATTAGGCTCGAGCCCATCCATTCTCGGATCATTGGAAGCCAGAAGCACATGCACAGTCGCCGAATGATCTTCATTCTGGTCTTGTCCCTGATGCCCATGGTCAGGAATTGCTTCCAGTCTAGACTTGCATTGGCTTCGAGTTCAGCTTCGATAGCGGCAAGGATCTCACTGCGTGTGCGCTGAACTCTAGGGTCGCTGACATCCGTATCGTGCAGCTGGGCGAGAGCGGCGTCGCCTTCTTCCCATCGGTTGCGGGCGTAGTACCAGCGCTTCACTCTATCAGTAAGTCTCTAAATAAGATTCGCACTGTTGACTTACTGGCGTATCTGGTAAGAACAGCATCAGACCACCACTGATAATGGCGAAGATGCATTGAAATATGATTGGAACTCTCCAGGAAGCCTGCGTTTGCATTTTGGTGAAGCCGTAGTCGACCCAGTACGCCAAAGGGACACCAGATATGAGCAGAATTGCATTCAACGCGTTGGCTGGACCACGGTCTCCGATCTCAACACCAGTCTCGGAAAGATAGGTAGGCACAGCGCTTGATATCGCTCCGATGGAGACCCCTTGTACGAGTCGACCGACGATAAGCTGGGCAACAGAATACGAACTGGCTTGAATCACCGAGCCAATGATCGCTGCGATATTGCCGAGGATTACAGTACCACGGCGACCGATTCTGAATGCAAAGAAGGCCACCACGAGTGCGGTCACGCAAGCTGCCAGGTCATAACTGGCCACGATCATCGGGATGACAGTGTCATTGGATGGATTGCCAATGGCGTCGAGAAATGGCTTATGAAGAATGATACCGCCGAGTACTCCAGCATCATACTATGCAGATGTCAGCTCAACAGCACCATTTACAGAGTCTGAGCCATTGTGTACTCACCCCATACATCATGAAAGAGGTTCCGCAAACAATCTTCATCAGCAGATAGAGTCGCCTTCCGCGAAGGCTAATCTTGGCTGCCAGCATTCTGATTGTGCGTTGTCTGAGGCTACAGCTGGTCGACGGTAAGGGATGGATCTGAAGTTCATGTTTTCCATCATCAAGATATGGACGTCCTCCAGTCTTTCTAAAGATCGGCAATGGATCCTTCCTCGCCTATGTCGGCGTGCATTCGGATGAAGCTTGCCCTGGAAGATCTGCGGTCCCCGCACGTGTCGCCCATGGGAATTTCTCGGTTATGCGACACAGCATATGATTTCTTGTCTTAGAAGTAGAATATAAGCAGAAAGTACCCACTACAGCAGGCTGGGATATGCAGGCTCTCAGTGAAGCTTGACTCTTGTCGCCGTACCTTCTAGGGAGGCTGAATTGGCAGGTGTAGCGATGCTTGCTGTTGAAGTGGATACCTACTTGTGGCCTGCACTCACCCTAAGTAAAGCCATTTGTCGGAGTGGTTGATGGCACTGCTGTATCGTTGGTGTCTCAGACCAGAAAACTCACCGGTCGAACACAGCAACCTCCCTTCGAAGTCCATTTCGAAGACTCCACCTTTCGACAGACTTGGAATACAAGCAGTCACAATGGAATAGTGGCTTCCATCACCTCTTCCACTCGGCCTGATGATCCGGGGAACATTAGCGCCAATCGCTAGGACCGCTCTGTCATCTGCTCGCATGATCTTGGGCCCAGATCCTGGTAGTCCATCACGTGTGGCCAAAAAGCAGCGTTGAGATGATCATTCTGCAAATGCTTCCCAGAATTCATGTGCAGGATTCGTTTACGAGAAACGCGTGGTGAAGGAGATGGAGCTGACTTTGAGATTGATGCAGTCATGTCGTTGGTAGAGTAGAGATGTTCGGATCTGAAGTCATGGCACCCAAGAGCTGCTGACTCAGGTTGCTCAACCTTATTTCACCACTTCTGCCACCACTCTTTCCGACGCATTCAACATGAGCGAAAAGAAAGGCGCATACGGCGGCAAGGGCGCAGGCGACACGGACTTCCGCCGAACATGGGATCGCGAAGAATATGCAGCGCGCGCAGCCGACCGCGATGCCAAAATCAAAGAGGAAGGCAAAGCGCGACATGAAGCAGCGTTGGCAGGAAAGAAATACATCCGTCGCGCCTCGACCCCTCCAGACGCGCGCGATACAGAAGCGCGAAAACAACGTCTCAATGTGGCAGATCAAGTTGGAAAAACACAAATCGTGCCTGCTGGAGCCGGGCAAGGCAAGCGAGGCAAAGGCGCCGGATTCTACTGCGATGCTTGCGATTTGACTTTCAAGGATAACTTGCAATTTGTGGAGCACTTGAACAGTAAGCAGCATCTTGTTGCTACGGGCGAAAGTGGTGAAGTTAGGAGAGCAACGTTGGAGGAAGTGCAGGAGAGGCTCGAGTATTTGAAGAGGAAAAGGGATGAGGAGGCTGCGAGAGATACGGTGGATTTGCAAACGAGGATAAGTAGTGCAAAGGAGCAGGAGGAGCGGGAGAGGGAGGAGAAACGGAGGAAGAGGAATGAGAAGAGACGGAAGACGAAGGATGGGATGGGACATGCGGAAGTTAAGGTAGAGGGTGATGGAGTCATTTGTTGATTAATCATAGGCCTGCGACGGAAGTCGAAGCCTCTGGGTGTGATTGATCTTAGCGAGGCGTTGGTGGAGTTGTTTCTCTGCAGATCGAGGCGCTCAAAGATAGAACACCACGGCTAGGAGCGGTAGCGCGAGAAGGGCGAATTGCATGTTGAAATGCCGGGCTTGGCGAATTGTGAATAGCGAGCCAAGGTGGAAAGGAAAAGGCGATGACTTGAAGACATAGTCACTGCACTCAACAGCTGTATCGACCCAAGGCGAGGCAATGCGTGAAGCCCAGAAAGCCATTCACATGCTCCCTCGTCCCTCCCGAGTCGTCTGTGCCAGTTCTTCCCCACGTTGGATGCCTGAATTATGGATTGGTGCCTGAAATGGACCCTTGAAACGGGCGCGCGCGACTGTTTACTTTCTGTTTTGGCTTGCTCCGAGCTGCACAAACATTCTCTTTCTGCGCCACGACTGTGCCAAACACACACCCGCTTGCCCGTCGGGTATTCAGAGCTTGGATAGTCAGATCTTGGATAGTCATAACTGCGACTTGATGTCCCAAGGGCGGCTGCGATCGATATATCGCGGCATCTATTCAACACCAACAGCACATACGCGAAACGCCTAGGAGAATCGGCAGAGCTACAATGTCCGACGACTCGATGGAGGTGTCTGCCTTTGAGGTGGACGCGTCCTCTGATTTCGAGCCGGCAGTGAAGCCAGTGAGTCCAGCTTCACCTGACATCTCGCCATCACATGCTATGCTGTCCTTCTCACCTCACATCCGCTAACAATCCTCACTCAGAAAGCGAAGGCTCCCCCCAAAAAGGCCGCCGCTCCAGCCAAACCAAAGGCAACTAAACAGACAACTCTGAAGACGACCAAGGCTGCGCCCAAAGCAGCTGCTAAAGCCGCGCCGAAGCCAAAGAAGCGCGCAAAGCCTGTCTCCGATGATGAGAACACAGACATAGACGCGATCGACTCGGACAACGACGCCTCGTTACTTTCGAATACACCGCCGTCGGCCAAGAAGCAGAAGAAGGCGCCAGCCGCAAAGAAGTCTTCCGGTCAGCCACTTGCAGAACTTGCAAACGAAAGCTTTAACATGGACGTGCCAGTGGAGCAAAAGGCGAAGAAGGGGTCGGAGCAGTATGAGAAGTTGACTCAACTGGAGCATATTCTGAAGCGTCCAGATACCTATATTGGGTCTGTGGAGCAGACTACGGAGCAGATGTGGGTCTATAACTCCGAGACTGAGTCCATGGAGAATCGCAAGGTGACTTTCGTACCCGGCCTTTACAAAATTTTCGACGAAATCCTGGTCAACGCTGCCGACAACAAGCAGCGCGACAAGAACATGAACGAGCTGCGTGTGTGGGTTGATGCAGAGAAGGGCGTGATCTCAGTCAAGAACAACGGCAAGGGCATTCCCATTGAAATGCACACCAAGGAGGGCATCTGGATCCCGGAGATGATCTTCGGTCATCTTCTGACCTCTTCAAACTACGACGATAACGAAGCGAAGACCACTGGTGGTCGCAATGGTTACGGTGCGAAGCTCACCAATATCTACTCTACGCAATTCGAGCTCGATACAGTGGATTCCAAGTCGAAGCAGCGCTACCGACAGACGTGGCGCAAGAACATGAGCGTAATGGAGAAGGCGAAGATCGACAAGGTCAAGGTCGACGACTACACACAGGTCACTTTCCGACCTGACTTTAGCAAGTTCGGCATGGAGAAGATGGACGCCGATTTCGAGGCACTCGTCAAGCGTCGAGTCTACGACATGGCTGGCACCGCCAAGGGAGTAAAGGTCTACCTCAATGGCGAGCGCATCAAGATCTCAAAGTTCAAGCAGTACATGGAAATGTACACAAAAGCCATCAAGACGGAGAACATCGTCAATGACGGAACTGCCCCTGAGCAGGTCATTCTGACTGACAACCCTCATGAGCGATGGGAAATTGGTTTTGCAGTCTCTGACGGCTCATTCCAGCAAGTCTCTTTCGTCAATTCGATCGCGACCACATCTGGAGGTACACACGTCAACTATATTGCAGACCAGATTTGCGACAAGTTGGAAGAGATTGTCAACAAGAAGAACAAGGGTGGTGTCAAGCTGAAGAAGGCCCAGCTCAAGAACCACATCTTCTTGTTCGTGAATGCGCTGATTGTGAACCCAGCTTTCACATCGCAGACCAAGGAGCAGCTCACCACCAAGGTGTCCGCTTTTGGCAGCAGACCACAAGTCAGCGAGAAATTCCTCAAGGACATTGCGAAGACCGAAGTCGTGAACAATATCTTGCACTTCGCTCAGCAGAAGGCTGACAAGGTGCTGGCGAAGTCTGATGGGGGCCGCCGACAACGTATGAACCATTCGAAGCTCACCGATGCCAACAAGGCTGGTACCAAGGATGGGCATCGCTGCACTTTAGTCTTGACTGAAGGTGACTCAGCCGCGCTCCTCGCTCTGGCTGGTCGTGCTGTGGTCAACCCCGACCTCTTTGGTGTCTTCCCATTACGTGGTAAGGTGCTCAATGTCCGCGATGCATCCGTTGACCAGATCTCTAAGAATCAAGAGATTCAGAACATCAAGAAGTTCATCGGTCTCCAGCATAAGAAAGAATACACTGATACCAGAGGTCTGCGATATGGGCACATCATGATCATGACAGATCAGGATCATGATGGTTCCCACATTAAGGGACTTCTCATCAACTTCTTGCAAGTGCAGTTCCCATCGTTGCTCAAGATTCCCGGATTCTTGCTGGAGTTCATCACACCCATTGTCAAGGTCTGGAAGGGCGATCCCAAGCATCCAAAGGCCAAGCATGACTTCTTCACCATGCCTGAATACGAAGCATGGCGAGAACAGCCTGGCCATTCGAAAGGCTGGGACCACAAATACTACAAGGGATTGGGTACCTCTGATACGAGAGATGCTCAGATCTACTTCGCGGATCTCGACAAGCACTTGAAGACGTTCCATGCGATGCAGGATCACGAGCCAGAACTTCTGGAGATGGCATTCTCGAAGAAGAAGGCTGACGCTCGAAAGACCTGGCTTCAAAACTTCGTGCCTGGCACATACCTGGACATGTCTGGCACCGAGGAGATCACATATGACGATTTCATCAACAAGGAGCTGATCCTTTTCTCAATGGCAGACAATCAGCGTTCGATCCCATCAGTAATTGATGGTCTCAAGCCTGGGCAGAGAAAGGTCATGTACACTTGCTTCCGCCGCAACATGAAGAAAGATATGAAGGTTGTCGAGCTCGCTGGTCTCGTGTCTGGTCTGACCGCATATCCATATGGTGATGCTTCTCTACAGCAGACCATTGTGGCTATGGCCCAGAATTTCGTCGGCTCCAACAACATGAACGTGCTTGAGCCAAGTGGTAACTTTGGTTCTCGTCTGCAAGGTGGTAGCGATGCGGCCAGCGCTCGTTATATTTACACGAGACTGTCACCTTTCGCACGCAAGATCTTCCACCAGTCTGATGAGGCTCTGCTTACCTACAATTTGGACGATGGCAAGACTATCGAGCCTGAGCAATATGTCCCGATCCTCCCAATGGTCCTCATTAATGGCGCTGAAGGTATCGGAACCGGATGGAGCACTTCCATCCCACAATATAAGCCGGACGATGTTATCGACAACCTCATTCGCCGCATGGATGTTGGCGAGAAGGATGCTATGCAACCAATGACGCCTTGGTACCGTGGCTGGACTGGACAGACTGACCAGATCGATGACACCCGTTTCAAGTTTACCGGCAAGATCGAGGTCATTGATGAAACGACTGTGAGAGTCACTGAGCTGCCAGTGCATTACTGGACGCAAGCTTTCAAGGACAAGCTTGAGGATATTATCAAGGCTGAGAAGACTCCATCCTTCATCAAGGACTACGTCGAGTACAACACTCCAGAAACGGTGCACTTCGAGATCAAGCTGGAGGCTAAGACTCTTCAGCAGAATGAAGGAAAGCTTGAAGAGCTTTTCAAGCTCTCAAACACTCAGGTTACGACCAATCTTGTAGCTTTCGACCCGCAAGGTCGCATCTACAAGTACGCCAGCCCGTTGGACATCATCGAGGAATTCTACCACGTTCGCTTGCAGAAGTATCAACAGCGAAAGGATTGGCTCCTTTCCGAGATGCACAAGGAGCTCGACAAGCTCAACAACCAAGCTCGCTTCGTGAACATGATCATCAAGAACGAGCTCGTTGTCAGCAAGAAGAAGAAGGCTGTTCTTGTGAAGGAACTTGACAAACTCGGCTTCACCCGCTTTCCAAAGGTCATCGAAGCCAAGAAGCAGGGCGAATTGGAAGAGGTTGTCGAGGATGATAACGAAGAATCTGATGATGCAGAGGTGGCTGCAGGCGCCAATGACTTCGACTACCTTCTCGGCATGCCCATTTGGTCACTGACTGAGGAGCGTGTCGCCAAGCTCAACAAGCAAATTGGAGACAAGGAGGTCGAGATTGATATCTTGACAGCCAAATCTCCTCAGGATCTCTGGAAGGAAGACCTGACTGAGCTACGCACAGAATACCAGGCTTACCTTGACGAGGAGAAGGCTCGCGACAAGAAGATCAATGCCAATGGCCGTCGTGCTTCGGGAAAGCTTGGCATAGGAGGCCAAGCTTCGAAGAAGCGCAATGCTAATGACAGCGACGCCTCAGAGTCCGACTTTGCGCCAAGAAGCCAAAGACGACCAAATCTAAGGCTGTTAATGGACTGCTCGGCATGGGCGCCAAGGCTCAGTCGAAGCCAGCAGGTATCTACCCAGTTGTTAATGGCATTGAGCAGAAACCTGTTGCACCGCCACCAGCCGAGAAGCAGATCACTTTGGAGAATGCGTTCCAGTCGAAGGGACCTGTCGCCAAGTCTTCCAGGCCTACATCGAAGGCTTCCACAGATACGGAAGCGCTAGGGAAGAAGGCACGAGGTCGGCCGAAGAAGGTGGCCAATGAGTCTGATGATGAGGCAGCTGTGAAGCCAGCCAAGAAGGCAGCACGTGCAAAGAAGACGGTCGATTCGGATGAGGAGATGGCTGATGACTCGGACGTCTTCGCTGCTATCGCTGAGGAAGCAGCTTCTCGACCAGCACCTGCACCCGCTCGTGGCGGACGTGCAGCCGCTCAGAAGGCCAAGTACAAGATCGAATCTGACTCTGAAGACGAAGAATCCGACGGAGGAAATGACATGCTTGCCGATGTTTCCGCCATGGTCAAGGGCATCGGCAGTGGTGCTCAAGATGGTGCAACACGCCTTTTCCATCCGGCTTCTGCTTCACGGCCTACGAGCAGTCATGGCTTGAAGGCCAAGCCAAGCAAGAAGAACCTGGCGGACACGGAGATCTCCGAAGATGAGACTAATTGGGAGGGCTTGGCCCAGAATTCGCCTCAAAAAGCTGCCAATCGTACCATGTTGGAGTCTGAAAGTGAGGACTCCATGGATGTCGACGAGCCACCCAAGCCTGCTCCAAAGCCCGCAGCAGCGAAGGCAGTGCCGAAGCCGAAAGCTGTTCCGAAGCAGAAGACGGCGGCCGCTGCTCTGAAGCAAAAGAAAGCCCCGGCTCCTGCAGCAGCGCCAGCTCCAAAGCCCCCTGCGTTGTCCCCGGCTGCCAAGGCATATGCAAAGAAAGTGCAAGCAGCTCAGGCCAAGGCAGGCGCTGCGAAGAAGAAGCTTCCTGAGTCCGATGAGGAAGAGGAAGATGCTGACCAGCTTGCGAACGAGATTCTCAGCGACGAGGACGATGGCAGTCCGGTCAAGCCCGCTGCTCGACCATCCCGTCGAGCTGCAGCCGCCGCACCAAAGAGCAAGTACACCGTCGACGATGAGGACGACGAGGAGGAGGATGATGAATCTGAGGCAGAGTTCGAGGATGCTGATGAGAGCTTTGACTAAGGAAGTCGATATTGAGAGTCTTTATGGTGCGTATTGGCGCCTTTTTTTGCATGATTTGGAAGTACGTTTGGCCTTGGGCCGAATCGATCAGGCAAGCCTAATTGGCATCTCTTTGGACGTGTAGTCAGTCAGGAATTTCGTATCTCGTATGGACGTTCAATTACGATTCCGCCGAATCAGAACACTCTCGGACAGATAACGGCGTCGAAGGTCGCAGAGGATCTGCGACATGGCCCTGAAGTTTTGCTGACATGACTAGTGATGTCGATGTTATTCCAGGTTGGACGTTGCATATTCGCCGAGCATCACCAAAGACGTGAACGAATTCCTGGAACCGAAGCGGAAAATCGGCACAGCTCTCTGCATTGCTCGTTGGCCGAATTCGCCTCGCCACTGCGACTTCACGGAGTATACCACTCACTATCCAGCCCACGAAACGCAAGACTTTTCCGTTCACGAAGCTCCTGGAGATAGATGGCATTGTGCGCCAAATGGAGGACAACACGGCCGTGGCCACAATGAAAGAAAATCTTATCATCAACCATGTATCTCTACTACCATCCATGTACTGGGAAACTGACCCGACTGACCGGCAAGAGACCCTGTTGTTTACGAGAATGCAGTCAGCAGCATCATCTCTGCCGCCAGCCGTTCGTTGGCCGAAAGCGCGCAACCACACCGCTCGCCACACCAGATACCGGCCGCCTCACCCGAGGCTGTGGATTGCGGGGGTTAGGGTACTTTTGCTTCGTGGCGACGATAGGGCGTTGGCTGATTCTTGCCCTTATATCACCTTTTTATCCCGACCCGACGAGGTTACTTCTTTTTTTTGCCACTTCTCAATACTATCAAGGAAGACGTAGATTCTTGACTTCGAAAACTTGACGATCTTACAGGGTTGTTTTGTTCTTTGCAGGGGATTGAAACCAACCATGGCACCACACGCACAAGACCCGGTCGGTGTTTCTGCAAATGGACACTCTGAGGCTGTGAATAATGGAGAAGCGCCACTGGAACCGGGTGTGAAGAAGACGATTGCGCAGGGGAAGATGATGGAGTTTCCGAGGTGCGTTCGTCGAGACAAAAAGGTAGTTGGTGGTTGGTTGCTCATGTCATGTTCAGGCCTCCGAAATTCGAAGACAAATACAAGGAAAGGGAATATTTGAAGGGCAGATTGGCGGCAGCCTTCAGGATTTTTGGGAAATATGGGTTTGATGAGGGTGTCGCTGGACATATTACGCTGAGGGATCCTGTTGATGCAAGACCTGTCATATAGTCTTGACATTGTTGGTTGGTGATGCTGACTCGCTTTTAGCCCAACTGCTTCTGGGTCAACCCCTTCGGCGTCGCATTCTCCATGATCAACAAATCCGACCTCATCCTCGTGAACCATTCCGGCCAAGTCATCGACGGAGGCGAGGTCCGACTCCTCAACACAGCAGCCTACATGATCCATTCCGCGATCCACGCTGCACGTCCAGATGTCAACTGCGCCGCACATTCTCACTCCATCTACGGCCGAACATGGTGCTCTTTGGGTCGAAAGCTCGATACTTTGACCCAAGATTCTTGTGCTTTCCACAACGATCATGTGGTTTATGATTCGTTTAACGGTGTTGTTTTGGCGCAGAAGGAGGGGAAAGATATTGCGAATTGTCTCGGGGATAAGAAGGCGGCGTTGTTGCAGAATCATGGACTTTTGACTGTGGGCCAGACGATTGAGGAGACGATCTTTTGGTTTGTGAGTTTGGAGAAGTGTTGTCAGTCCCAGTTGATGGCCGAGGCTGCTGCTGGGAGTCGCGGTGAGAAGCCGATTGCTATCGGTGAGGAGGAGGCACAGTATACCTATAGGAGTGTTGGAACGAGTCGAGCGGGTTGGTTCTCTGCCAAGCCACTGTTTGATGTCGTGCATAAGGAGACGAATGGGGATTATTTGCAGTAAATCTGCACAGATAGATGATGAAGCATATGGCGCTACGAATGATGAATCAATCTCCGGGGTCAAGCCTCTCTTGTTCTTCTGTTGTCGCTTTCTCTGGACCTCCTACTTCCTGCTGTTGTTGCACTTCGTCTTAACTCCGATGGTTCAACTTGCCGACTTGATCCGGATATCCTCTGGCTATTCCTGGACCGCATGAGAGCCGCCTGCACATCTATTAGACCACCATCTGCTGCCAGCTTGATGCGTCGCACGATCGCAAGCTGCGGCTGGCTACGGTAGAGTGTCGGTAGGTGTGTCCGCAACTCTTCCAGGGCCTTGTCTCTGGGAGTTTGGAGGATGTCAGGATCTGCTACTATCACAGCATACGCATTCCTATAGACCTCGGTCAAAGATCTGGCAGCGTTTCGCGCACTCGGAGGCGAGCACAGCTTGGGGAGCCAGAAGCATAATTCCGCGCGAACTTCCTCGACCTGAATCTTTCCCAGCGGATATGCTAATTGCATGAGCTGACAAGTGGTGATGGTGTTGTACGTGGAGAAGTTGATGACCTCGGAATTTGTTGAAGTCACCACCACGTATTGTCTACGTCCATCATGAGGTTTCGCGACCAGATTCAGCTTATCTGTGTCGCCAGTCTGGATGCTCAAAAGCGGTATGTCTCCATCTCGTGTTATCTGGGCAATTCTCTCCACTGGTGCTTCGATGATGCGGCACTCGCAATGTCGTCGTAGATGTTGCGCAGACGTGGATGGCCGTATAGGTTCTCTGGCTTCCGGTTCCGGTGCGCAGACAGGCTGGCTCATTGATCTCGTAACGTGGACGCTCCTTGTGGGATGAACCCTCGATTATTTGTTGCTCGTGCTCCAGGCATAAATCCTCCTCGGACAGCGGGGACCAAAGACACTTATACTGATGACATGGGCACACAGCCTTACCAGCTGAGCGTCCTTCTCCCGTCGCCACCAACACACGTCGTTCCATGCAGAATTTTGATGCCTTACTATTATTAGCCTTGGAGGTCACTCTGAACCTCTTTCGGCCGACGAAGTGCGTTAAGCGTATACAAGGCGTCAAAGGCTCGGGAGACACGGGACATGTTCGCTGGCGGCTGAGTATGGTCAAGAGCGTCTAGTCAAGGGAGGATGGAGACGGGAGAAGGGTGGAAAATGTCCGTGCCTTGGATTCTGCCTCGTGAAGCAGAGTTCCGCCTAGGCAACCGGCTGTTCGGGACGTTGCTGCCGCGCCGAAGACAAGCGAGTCTTCAGACTCTTCACATGGTCTGGTCCGAGCGAAGGTTTGAGAAATCCTGGCCATGTGGGCGGAACCATCATGTGATACGATCATGGAGTCGAGCACAATACTGTAGAATGTCGTGTGGACGATTGCCCGTCTCAGCCGGGCGGGTGAGCGGGCGAGGCAAGGCGAGGCAGAAAGGTTTCGAGAGGCAAATACAGGGGTTCTGTGAAGTCATCCAGCGTTGGGAGAGGCCGTGCACCATTGGTGGGTTAGTAGTTCTAGCTTTCAGGGCAGCGCAACCAAATCTTGCCGCACAAACATATCGCGAACTTCGCAAACTTCACACCGCCAGTACACTTCTTGAGCTGCAGCAACACCTCCCTGAGCGTGCAGTTCCGCCGAGCTTGAACGAAAGCAAAGCAAAGCATCATCATATCGAGTACACAGAACGGAGCTCGTCCAATCCAGGCAAGCGAGCGAACAACCCCGGAGCTCCCCTATCTCACCCATCACCCATACGAAACACATACAGTCATGTCTGGTCCCTTTGTCGACCAGGCTCTGCAGCCCGGCGACCACGCAGCCTATCCTGAACTGAAGACCGACGAGACTGTTGAGAAGCAAGAGCTGTCCGGATTTCTTGCAAGTAAGGTAAGTGAAGCTGCACAAAATGCAGCCACGACATGTGGTAGTGCCTGAGCGCCATCGATTGCATGGATACGCGATGCGGTGGGCGATGGGCGGGAGCAAGCTGTTCACTGCACCACGTCACTCCCATTACCTGTTTTTTCGCTCTCACATCTCAGGAACAACTTCCCGCGCCTTCTCTCAACCATTTCCTCTCGCGCTGCCGCAGTCACAAACACCCGTGACACCTTTCGACCTCAACTGACCACCATATCGACAGTACCCAGCATTTCCGCCCTCTCCGCCTGATAGCATAGCACACATCAGGCACACCTCGACCCTAACATGTCTCTCTCAGACGCCCAACAGACCGCTCAGAACACCATGGACAGCATCAAGAACTCGCAGACAGTGCAAGCGGTCGCCAACGGCCCCGTCGTCGACAAGGCGCGCGCTGAGGCCAATGCCACTCGAAACGAATTCGGAAACCTTTCGGCATCGAAGCAGACCCCTCAAACCACAACCGCCAACGGCCAAGAACTGACACACTACCACTCCTTCTTCTACAACCTGCTCTCGTGGGAGAACCCAAGAGCCACCGCCGTCACCTATGCTACCTTCGTCCTCTCCATCCTCATCGCGCGCTATGTCCCAGTCGTCCGATACCTACTCAAGGCTTCTTACATTGTACTTGGCATCACTGCAGCACTCGAGGCTACCGGCAGACTCGCTTTGGGTCAGGGTGTGGCCAGCAAGATGCGACCGAGAGCCTACTACAGAATTCCGCCTGAGTCCGTCGAGAGCGTCCTGTCTGATTTGGCAGAGCTTGTCAACTTCTTTGTCATTGAGTTCCAGCGCATCGTCTTTGCTGAGAACATCTCCGCCACCATTCTCGTAAGCGCTCCTCCCGATTGTTGAATTTCCTCCAGCTAACAATAAGTATAGGCCTTCTTGAGTACCTTCACCACCTACTGGCTGGTCAAGATCATGCCAGCTTGGGGCTTCATCCTCCTCTCCACTACCGTCCTCTTCTTCACCCCTCTGGTCTACATCACCAACAAGGAACTCATCGATGAGTACCTTGGCAACGCACAAAAGATTGCTTCCGAGCAGGTCAGCCAGATCCGTGGCCTTGCTGCTGAGCACACTGGCAAGGCTTGGGAGGCAAGCCAGAACGCTCTCAAGAATGTTAGCGCTCAGGCTTCTGAGGTAATTGGACAAGGAAAGCAGGCTGCTGTTGACAAGGGTATTGTCAGCCCTCAGACCGCTGAGAAGGTGACACCGGAGTCGGCAGTCAAGAGTGACGACTTCCCTTCGGCACCAAAGGATAATCCGCTGGTCCCTGAGGCTACTACCCATGAAGAAATCCACCACAGCGAGAAGGAGCCTCTCCTTGCATAAGCGTATCCGAAGAGATCAACTGTTGCGGAGAACTTGACAAGGTGAAGAAGAGTTGATGCATCAGGAGCACGACCTGGAGATACCTATGTAGCTACGGCTGGCCCTACAGAATGGCATAGTTTTGATACTGGCGCTTGCTATCGAAACCTGGCATGGAGTTGGGGAACTGTATCACTTGCTCCGAGCAGGTTTTGAATTGAAGCGGCATATGCGAGCATGACACTTTAGGTACTCTTACTATGGCATGATGGACGAGAAGATGATATCTGCCTAATGTAAAGCGAGTGTCTAACCAGAGCAAGCCTCTGACTGTGCCACCCTGCCCTAGGATGACTTGGTTCTTACTCTTGGCTTGTGGGATCGAGCATTGCAATGCTGTCATTCATTCCACTTCTGATTTGAGAGCATCGCACCAACAGCTCTCTCGTCGGCTCTTACGTGCTAATTCCGCTTGGCCACATCTCAGCAAGCTTCAGCTCATGCACCTCCAGGGCACATTTCTTGCAGCATTATTAAGCTTTCTCTCGGACCGGTATAACCCTGTCCCCCGTTTCGCCGCTTCTACTTCATGCTGTTCAATACTTCAAGAGTTGCTTCTCGACTTGGAATCACACAACATAGAACCCTCAGCACCACACTCCGATCAATAGTAAATATGGCCACAACGAACGGCCACGTCAGCGGCAATGCCGTCGCATCACCAAAGATCACTCTTTACACCAACCATCAATGCCCTTACGCCCATCGAGCTCACATTGCTTTGAAAGAGCTCAACTTGCCATTCGAGGAAGTCATCATCGATCTCAGCACGCCACGACCACAGTGGTATCTCGACATCAACCCACGCGGTCTAGTGCCTTCGATCAAGTATTCCGTCGAAGGCGTCTATGACGAGGAAATCTTGACCGAATCGGCTATTGTGGCCGAGTTCCTTGCCAACTCGTTTCCGGGAAAACTGCTGCCGGGTTTGAGAGATAGTCCGAGAGCGCCGCTGGAGAGGGTGAGTTCGCAGCGATTCAGGAAAAATTTTTTTTAGAGCAATGCTAATTCATGATGATTGATGATTATTAGGCGAGAATCAATTTCTTCACTGATACCTGGAACAACAAAGTCTCATCCTTCTGGTTCCAAACCTTGCTCGCTCCGGCAGGGAGTGCCGAAAAAGAAGCGAAAGCTGAGGAATGGTTTAAAGCCGTGGAGAAGGAAATCGAACCTCTGCTTTCCAATTCTGCGCCTTACTTTAATGGAAGCGAGACTTTGACTTTTGCGGAAGTTCATGCTGCTCCGTTTATTGTGAGATGGTATGCGTTGGGAAAGCATGAGGATTTGATTCCTACGAGTTTGATCAGGAATTTGGATTCGCTTCCGAAGTTTTCGGTCTGGGCCAAGGCGATTCGGGAGAATGAGAGTGTGACGAAGGTTGTGGATTGGGAGGCGAGTGTTGATGCTATGAGGGCTAAGGTCGAGCAGTTTAGGGCTAAGGCTGCTGCTAAGAAGTAAGTTGGCGTGTCTTGTCTCAGAGAGATGAGAGGTAGCAGAAGCGGTCTGAGACTGCGATAAACAGAGATCAATGGTCTCACTTGCTCGATCCACGAATCTCCTCGCTGTGTCTACACTCAAAAATTGCAAGTCACTGGTCGACGGCCCATCTGGCGCTTACGGATTCAACCATTGCCAGCTCTCTCGATAAAGTGCCGGCCGCTCATGTCCCAATGCCCTCAACAACGACGCCGCCGCGAACGGTATCGCATCAAACCCTGCTCTCAAATTTTCAGTGAAGCCGAAGGTCTACCTTCCACCTTCAACTTCTCTCAACAGCACCTTCAATTCGCCACCAAATCTCGTACGCAGAGCATGGAATTTCGCCCTCTCTCGCTCGAATGCTGCCTTTTCCGCCTCTAACTCAGCTGTGCGGTGCTGATACTCTCGCTCGCAGTCCTCCCAGCCGTTGTTGTAGGAAGCGATGTACGTTTGAGTGTACTGATCTTGAGGTATAGCAGCAGGTTTCGGGGGCGCGGCGCTCGGTGCTTGTGGTGCTGATGCTGGGACGATAGCAATGGGACCAGGTGTGAGGGGTGTTAGCGAGGCACTTGGTAGCTGTCTAGATGGCGGAACTGCTGGAAAGGAGCCTGATGTAGAGGTAGGAGGTGGTGGATAATAGCTTAGCAGCTGCTGGGTTTGCGGGTTAGCGGAAACTATACTGGTATCAGGCACAGACGTCTTCGCAGGCTGGATTGGCTTCTCGGCTGGCGATGGAGCAGCTGCAGACGCACTCGGCTCAGGCACAGGAGTTGCGGCTGGCTGAGTCAGTTGCTGAAGTGGCGACGGTGACGCTGGTAGCGCGGCGATCTGCTTCAGCTTCTTTGACTTCGGTGTGTTGACAACTTCCGGTGCGACAGGGTCTGCTTTTCGCTTTTGAGAGCCGCGAATGGATTGCATGAAGTTCTCGTACCACGCTAATTGTGTCAGCTCTCAAACGCGCTGATGACCTGAACGCCAGTAGGGAGTCTGGAGTCCTCGACCTGGAAAGCTACTCACAAACTTCACCATCGATCAGTCCTCTGCTCTTATTCATGCCCCTCTGGAACATTGGCTTCTTCGCGGCATCGATCTCGTGAGCATCGGTAAAATGCTTGTTAAGAGTTACATAGTCCGCAAACCGCAGCTGATCAAAACAGTCAGCATTGATACGCTTTGTTCGCACGAATCTGGACCTACACCGCAGATTCGCATGCCATCCTTGCCTGGAAGGCGGCAAAAGCGCTCGCCCATGTGAAGGACGGGATAACCATTCTTGTCGAGCTCGGCAAGCGACGCATGTTGTGGAAGCTCTGTCAAGTCCTCATATTCCAGGTAGGCGCCGGAGCGCTTTTGAAGTGTCAGGCAGCCCTTCCCTTTGAATTCTTTCTTTTCGGCCATACCGCCGTTGAAGCAATGTTGATCGATAGCAGTCGGCTATTTGGTCTTGCTTGATCTGGAGCCGCGCTGATTTGTGGTTATTGCCAATGCTAAGAAATTGCATGTGCAGTAGCGGTGGAAGTGAAGAACGGGTGTGACAATGGCAGTTGCCTGCAGAAGTGAGGTTCGTGGCACCTGCATTAGGTAAACGGCCATATGACAATCTAATCCAGAGAGTGAACTTGAGCCGTAGGACGCCAGGTTGCCTCTGCAGCACACAATCCAAGGTCGAAACCAATGTCTACTGAGGCACGCAAGCACGATGATCATGCATCAGCCTGGGAGAGTCTGTTCAAGACCACCCCTTTTTCTCAATAATGCTTAAAGCTTCCATGGGCGGACATTTGGTCTTTCACAGCCCTTCGATGCGAGAATTGGGACGACGAAGGAGTGAAGGCAGGCAAAGCACGGAGATGACAATGTGGTTTGCCGACGAGCCGATGTGGAACCCGAGTTCTTGGCGTGTCTTGCGCCCTTCCCTCAAGCAAACCATTTTTGTGCCTTTAACTTCAACTTCAGCATGCCTTCATCGCGAGACAACATCCACGATTCTCAGACCTACAGTGCGTAGAGTCTATGCAGCCGCAGAACATGTTCGCCTGCGCCAAAACGAACACGGCCCAAGAAACACGATGTCTCAAGGGCTCGCAAGCAGCCTCACTCACGGCGCTGGGAGAAAGGCAGCTTGAAGTGCACCGAAAGGTGTCTTTCACTGCTGCTCGACCAGTTCGATTCGGACTGAGACCTCTGAGCAAATGCTGTCTGAGATCAAAACACGCATTGACGATGTTCAATCGTGTGTCCACACATATCGTCTTGAATTACCTGCTGATCTGCTCTCGTGGCTTCCCAATCTTCCCTCCGAGCACCGCCCATACACCGCCAATAACCTCTTACTCTTTTCACAGGTTTTCACAGTACACATTCTACCCATAATGGACAACAGCTTCAGAAGCATACATATTTCCGGCAGGCCTGGAAGATCGTATGCCATCACTTCGGAACAGATCCTTGCTGACAGGTTCGCGACCCTGGACGCGAGCATCGCAGATCTCCAAAGGAAGGTGGATGCTGATTCAGTCTTACTGACTCAACTCGACTACAGCTTCAAGAAGATTAGAACAGATATGGAAGCTGTCAAAGAACGGATCGGCAGATTAGAAATGGAGAACACAAGTGAGAACATCGAATCTTCAGGATCTTGAGCACCAGTTGACGTGCCGTCTAGCAGATTCGAAGAAAAGAAGATTGCCACGCCGATCTGTCTCTAGTGAATGTCCAATCTGCAGAGAGGCTTTTGACGACCCACACGAAACGCCGTGTGGACATGTATTCTGCAGGCAATGCATTTACCAGTGGCTCACGAGAACAAAATCCTGTCCACTCGACCGAAAGAGGATCACAGCCCTGGACCCCGTACCCGTGTCACTGCCAGTACAAAGTGATTCGCACATTCAGGCGAACGCTAGCCAGTCAACCTCTGATCGTCACTTGAGAGACGGGAAGCCTAGCGAAAACAGAGAATTAACCCAGATCCGTGACCAGTCCAATGAAGAGGCATCACTTCCGACACTCATGCTGCTTATGAGTGCGATATTCAGCAGCGGCGGCCTCAGGAATCTTGGAGTGCCTTGAGAAGAATGGCTGAATGGAGGTGCGTTCTGTTTGGAACAAGATCTTGCGTCGGCAATCTTGACAGCCCTAGATCATGTTGGACACCCTCCTCCTGTGGGAATGTAACGGATGGGAGGTGATTGGACCAAGCAATGGAGGTATGGCATTTGTGGTCTGGCGACTCAGTCGGCAACTGCACTGGTCGACGACCTGACAACAAGAAGTTCCGCATAAACTTGTTAGCACCAGCGATTCAGCAGAAACGGGTGGCCGTCAATGAATGCCTTGCTAAGGCAGTAAAGGTTCGACGAAGGAGGATGTGCAGGAATCACCTCTACTCGATCTGCCGAGGTGTTCAGCATCTTGAAATGCCGCAATGTGATGTCCAGGATTGTCCCTGCCGATGATGCTGCTATAAGAGGAGAATAATAGAGCTACCAGCGAGGCAGACACATAATCTGTCGGAGCGCGCTGCATGTTCTTCCATCGTGGATCGCTCATTCAATGATTGTCTGAGCGTGCTCGTACTAGAAGCGAGGGAGTCAGTGCAATTCGTCTTGCTATCAAACTTTCCTTGAAGTAACAAAGCATGCGACCACGCGAGCAGATTATGTTTGTATTGAGTCATGTGGAGTCACAATCTACCACTCGGGCGGCGGACGAGGAGGGTGTAGCCAAGATCCAAAATTTCCAAATGCGATTTTTTCGACGACTGTTGAAGGGTCAAATCAACGTTCTCCCGCAGCAGCGACTCGGGAGTGTCGGACCGCCGGCGATTGTGCATCAGCGTTCTTGCCTGACGAACAAGTTACACAACATGATCTTCGCTGAGCGAACATCAGCTCAAAGCGAGGCCTGTACAGTGTACACCAGGATGAGCCCAGAACTCTGGCGTGTGGCTTGGGCTTTCACCCTTGTCATGGATCTGCCAAAGCCGGAGAGCATCCCTGTAACTCACATCAACCTCAGCGAACATGATCTCACCAGGATCGTGTAGCGTCGAATTCTATACCATAGTTCTTGTCTGATCATGGCTCGATCGACACCTCCAGATCCAGCATCTTGACGGAGAAGGCATCGATGAACCACACATCGGGCAGGCACACATCTTGGATACCGGTATGTGGGAGTGGCGATCGAGGACCGCTGTGCAGTAGAATGATGCACGTTTGTTCGTCGTCTCCTGATGCTCGAAATCCGGCGGATGCTTAGCTCAGGCGTCCGATGCCCAGCCGTTCCTCCACATGATGATGCGCGTCGGGCGCTCGCTGAACGCGGGTCAGAGTTCGCGGCGGAGAGGATCGCGTTTCGGCAGCGTCCAAGTTCCAGGGTGCAGGGAGCTCTAAGTTAATGTAAAAGCACAGAGGTTGATGAAGAGGAGAGCCGATACGTGCATCAACTTCATCATGATAAGACTTTGTGACGGGTGCACCAACGCGACAGCGCGACAGGTACATTATAACCGTTCGCATGCGCAATTATTGTTAGCTGAGTTAGCTGGGTGTTGCCGCGCGTGCCCGTTGCACGGCTTCCAGTTCCATGTCGGCCAGGGTTGGACTAAAATCAAGTTCTGCCTTTGAGCGACACCTCAAGCAGAAGATGTTGCGCCGACGACTCATGCAGCGTGGAGCAGGCTCGCATTCACTAACGTTAGTAGTCTCGTCGCCATCGCGCACCATCGCATGTGCGGCGGGCTGCGCGGGTGTGACCACGGCTGCAGAGTGACTACTGTTAGCGATGTTAGACACAACATCACAAGGTTCGTGTATACGGTGATATCACGGTGTATACGACCTATATTGGCGCCGGTCTTATAAACACAAATGTAAATAACCGAATGTAGTTATAATGGCTTAGAATAGCTAGTTTGGTTGCTTTAGTACTTAGTAGCTAGCTAGTGCCCTTAGTTAACATACTAGCGCTATAGAGATTTCTTTATACCCTTGTCTATACTATATTACTAACGCGCCTGCTCGCGACTTTTCGTATTATAATAGCGTTTATAAGCAATACTATATACAAAAGTAATAGTTATAGAAAGGTAATAGAGCCTATTAGATATAGACCTAATCTACTATAGGGAAATTACAAATACCGACGAGAACTCGGCGGCAAGACTATAGCAATTGCGGACAAATAAGACCGTGCTAGAAAGCATATAATATAGGCAATTTTGTAGTAGAATATATATAGATAGACTATTAGTTTCCTCCTCTTTTATTAATCCCTTTAGCTTTAATCTACTACTAAATACTCTATCGTTTTTACTATATCCGACAACGCCTCGAGCTAGCAATCGCTGCTTGCTACCCTTAGTAGTCTACTAACAACTACTCTAACTCGTTATGTATTTAGCAAGCGGAAGCGTATAGAAGACCCTTACTAGCGTAAGGTAATAAGAGACCGCTCGAATAGCAAATTCTATACTATTGCTAAGTATAACTATTATAGTAAGTCTTAGACGTCGAATAAGCGCTCGAGAGTTATTAAATACCTATTAAAGTGTTAGTTCTTGCTAGAGTCGCTATAGAAGACTTATTAACCTTATCTATTACTAGAAGTAGTAGAAACCGAGGCGCTAGAACCTGTTCTAGCGCTTATAGGTAATAATAATGTTAAGGAAATCCCTCGTCCTACCCGTAAGAAGGTGCTACTACTAGGGTTAGGCTTTGTCGACGAGATAACTCCTAACGAGTACGATGCCCTCTACGAGTTAGTTACTAAGTAGGTGTTTGCCTCTAGTAGTCTATTAAGTACGATAGAGCATCTAGCCTTTATAAGATAGATAAAGAGGATAAGACCGGCCTTTAAACTGCTAACTCGCTATTAGCTTAGATACGTGTACCTACCTCGCCTCTATATATAGCTATATCGTAAGATAGTAGTAGAGGTTAGTAGAAGTACGCGGCTCTATATCGTATCGGATAGGTAGTCGGATCGGGCGTATCGTTTAGTCGTTAATTATCTCGTAGTTGCGCCTCGAGCGGCGTAGTTTATAAAGTCCGAGCTTACTAGCGCGATAAGGAGTAATGCCTCTTATTATACTAAAGGCCTTCTCGAGATTATCGACTAGTTTCCGGTAGGCAAGGTAGTCGGTATAGTTGCTAATAATGCATTAGTAATAAAGGCGGCTACGGAAGAGGTATATTTCGAAGATTAGAGGTTAGAAATAGTCCCTCCGGCAAGCCCCGACTAACTAATAGATAAGCGCTAATAAGACTTAGTGCGTACGGTAGCATCTGACGCTAATCCGATTAAGATATGCCTCCTATTTTACTTAGCTTCTAGTTAGGGACCTTCATTTAGTAACAACTAGCATTACAAGGCTTAGAACAATTACTAACGACGCTAAATCTATCGCAGAATACTTTAAGTATATACAGCTACCTTTTAAGATACTGCTAGATATATTAAAAGGCAAAGTACGGCATTTCTAGGTCCCTAGAGATGTCCGCTAGTAAGCCGACCTATACTGCGCTTAAAGCATACTTGTTAATAAATACTAGATTAAAGACCTCCGAGCTAACTATAAACAACGCCTCTTCTATAGATCGACTAATACGTAGTAGCAGAGTTAGCTAGAGATATGTAATATCTTCGAAGAAGGCTCGTTCTAGCGTAATCTACGAGGGTGAGTGCTAAAGCCGAGTTTTGCGTACTAACTAACTTCCCTTAGCTATTACGACTTAATAGAGCTATTCCTAAAGGTTACTATTGCCTTAGAGTTAGATAGACTAAAGCTATTACACGTATATAGCAACTAGCGCTAGCTTATAAATACTATAATCGATAAGGCTCTAAATCTCGTCTTAAACAAGGAAATAGAGATATATATAGAAAGGCGGTAGAAGGTACTATAAGTTCTTTAACTATAGAACCCTCTAGCGGACTAATAACGCTATTAGTTATTAGCCTATTATGCTAATTGCCTATCTAGCTAATGTTTCCGAGCGCTCCGACCCTAAGAAGTAGTTTATACTAATTAACAACGACGAAGTTAAATCCCTTACCCCCTTCCTTATCGAGTACTATACTAAGTAGCAACGCATGTCCGCTACCTATCTAGACTATAACGAGTTAAGAGATAAGATTAATATACGCGCTAGACAACTTCTAAACGATATCTTTATACTTAGAAGCCGACAAGGTCTATTTAGTAACCCCGTTATATAGGTAGCTAGAAAGAGCCGGATACCGTTACTATAGTAGGCTAATAACTTCTAAGACTCGTACTCTAAGCTTACTAACCTCTATATGCTAGCCTTATCTCTTTGTCTAACAACCGGCACTGCTAAGCGCAACTAGTCTGCCTTTAGCTTTATTTAAAGCCTTAAGCGTAATAGATTAAGCTACGAAGTGCTCGAGAAGTTAGTCTTTATCTACTAGAATCTATATATTAAGTATAACCTAGACGATAGTAAGCTTATAGACGACAGTTACGTAGATCTATAGGATATACTAAAGGAAGTATTTAAGCTACAAGGCGACTTCGAATATACTCGTAATAGCGGCGGTAATATAGATAATATAGACGACGATAGTAACGTTGTCGACCTTACTACTAATAGTAACAGTTAGTAGAATAGCTAGTAGAACAACTAGTAGCTAGTAGGGCTGTTTATATACTAAGATTGTTACTATTTACGCTCTATATTCTTATTTCCTTTATTGTTTTATTTTGTATAGGATACGCTATAATAACTAGATCTACCTGCTAATTAATCTGTGTCTCGTATATGTTTATAAGGTGTACACGGTGTTTATAAGCCCGGAAATTAAACGCACCGTGATTCTACATCTCTAACTACTGTGACTACTGTGCATGCAGCAGGCGCACGAGCCGCCTTTCTAAACACGGCCGGATGGAAAGCCTAATAAGCGCACAGATCGGCCTGCTAGAATAGATGCTAGTGCGTGCATGCTGCCCTTCCCGTGTTCCTCCCTGCTTCCCCAATAAACAACCCGCAGAACACTCCTCTTGCGCTGCTCTGCTGCGAGAGCAATTGGCAATTGGTCCTCTCTGGCCTTCATGCCGTTCCCTGCGCCGCGTGGGGCGACTGGTCGACGCTGCGACACCCCTCTGCAATTGATGTTCGCCCGGGAATAGAGACAACCCTAAGACAGAGAGAGGGAGAGAGAGAGAGAGAGTCAGAGAGAGAGCGCGCGTCCAAGGGGCCGATTTCGAGCCGCGCTTTTAGCTTGGCTCTAGAAGAGGCCGTCAGGGCCGTCGACTGGGCGAGCCACCGAGCAACGCCGGCTGTCCTGCTGCTGCCCTGCGGTTCTGCTGCACTCGCGGTGCTCGCCTGAACCATGGCCGCCATGGCAAACCTCTACCCTTCCAGTAGAGCGGAAACGCCTGTGAGCCCATTGCTGCAAACCGACTTCCCATTGCCTCCCTCCAGCCACTCCAGCCTGCAACTGCAACGCCTCTCGAACCGCGGCGATGCCTTCAATCTAGCACATGCTCCGCACTTCAGTTCGCCAGGCATGAACATGTCGCGAAGCCCCAGCATCTCCAGCTACTCGTCAGTAGCATGGGCCAAAGAGCCGGCAACGCCCACCAACGTGCACCCGCCGCCGGCATACATCGCCCCCTTCGGCGCGTCCCAGGTTGTCAGCGAGACGAAACGACGCCTCAGCGACGATGACGGCGATGGGGATAATCGGGGCTCGGCTCGATCGAATCGAGACGAAATGCAGTTCTCACCTGCAGCTTTGGCCCTCGTCAATGCCTTTCTGGACCAGCTGCTATACTCGATGCTGGCAACTGCCAAATCGACCACATTGACGGCATTGCGACCCGCTGTGATTGAAGTGCTCAAATCCAGATTGGCGAGCGATGCCATCAGTAGCGCAGAGGAGGAATTGGCGGAGCTGCTGGCTGGGGGTGAGGAGGAAGAAGAGGAGATGAATCAGAGACAATCTGTGGCCGAGCGACAGCGGCTCTGGGACACAGAGCTCGTCTGGAAGCGCACAAGGCTGCGCGTCATGGTCTACATCCGCTTAGGCGAGATGGAGGACGATGACGAGGAGCGTCATGTGCGCGAAGACGAGCTGTTTCATGGCGGCGATCGGAGGTTTTCACACTCTACAGGACTTGTGTCTTGGGCTGCAGCCATCTTCCTGACCTCAGTGCTGGAATACGTAGCGGAGCAGGTGCTGCAAGTGGCCGGTCAAGCAGCTGCTAGCCGCGCACGCCGTCAAAGCCGGAGTCTGCGTGTAACAATGTCAGCTTCCGGCATGGTAACACCCGTGGATGGCGTAACCGTGGAAGACTACGACATGGAAAAGGTTGCACTGAACTCCACGCTCGGGCGTCTTTGGCGCACGTGGCGCAAGTCGTTGCGGAACCACTTACTTGGCAGCAACAACAGTAATGGTTTACCGCCAACTCCTACGCACCTCACCAGCAACAACTTCTCTCGCCGCCTCAGCAGGGATCATTTTGGTGGAGCAGTAATGAGCCCCACACGCAGCAGCTTCGGCAATGGCCCTGAATCTGTCTCCGCTGTGGATGACTCTCGGCCTGCATCTACCAGTGTGGACGACCGGGATGGGCTCGAGGACGGAGTCGAAGAACTTCCAGAAGCACAGTACCCCGAGCATGTTCTCGCTGCAAATATCCCTCTCCCCATGGAGCGCGACGAAAGGCGGGATGTCGATGAAATCGAGGTTCCTGGTTTGGCCAGGGATCCCGACGAAGCCGAGGGAGATGGGAGCACGACACCCGTGGAGCCATTGCACCTGCGACGGAAGAGCTTGACCGGCTCAGCGCCTTGGAGCTTGATCGCCAACATACTGCAAATCAATGCTGAGTCCGATGCGTCTGTTTTAGCGATGTCAGAAACGACGCCGCCCGAGAAGACCGCGCTCATGAGGCGGCAGCGTTCGCAGTCGGTCCCAGTGCGGTTTTCACCTGTGTCGTTTCCAGCGAGAGATGCCCCAGAGCCGGTCCCTGCAGATGTTGAGACTGTAGGTGCAGCCGCCGCTGAAACAGACGCCGGTCCCAAGAAGCTGCCCGAAGCAACAGAGATGGCATCCCAGCATGACGAAGCGGCTGCCGGGCAACCCGCACAAAGCCAGGACAACGACCAAACCGAGCTGCCCGCCAGCGATGGTCACCCATTTGATTTCTCAGGCCTGCTGGGTACTGCCGCAGCCAGCTTGACGACTGCCACAGCGGCTGCGACAGCGGTGATGTACGGTGTAAGTCCACAAGCTTCAGCCGGCTACAAGAGATTTGGAGGCGCCGCCGCCGGCTCAGCTGCTGCCGCAGCGGCCGCCGTGGCATTGGTATATGGCGACAGCTTGCGAGCGATGCCTTGCGAAAAGATCGCCGAGGATGCAGTCGAAGGCGCTGCCGTCGAAAAATCAGGCACGGAGCCTGTGGACACGCCGATTGAGAAGCATCCAGAGAGAACATTGGTCGACAAGAAGAGCATGGTTGATTTAATTAAGAGCGGGCAGCTTGAACCTCCTCCAGAAGCTGAAGATGACCATATTGAAGAGCGAGACAACCAGAAGCAGCTTGTGGACACAAAGCGGTTGAGCATACCTCCTGCGAACAAGCGTACTTCGTGGGACGCCGAAAGGACCAGGTCTGCTGAAAAAGTGCCGCCCATCGAGCCCGAGTTCTCTCGCGACTCAACGACTCCGAGGGCGGCCAGATCTCCCAAAACCAGCCAGGAAAGCTTCGCACTCGACGACGGGAGTGAGCTGCCACAACCTATCGTGAGACCAAGGCATTTGTCGCGTGACATCGAGTCAGAGCATGCCGCGGATGGCTCTGGCGACATTGGAGTTGCAAGAACATCAGATACTGCTGTTTCGACAGGCGAGTTGCCGCAGGAGGAATGCTACCATGCAAGGGACAGTCTCGCGAACCCAGCACCGAAGCGATGGTCCAATATCATTCTCGCACCTACGGAAGAACAACCTGCACTTACCAGACAGGACAATCCGCCGTCGCCCCTCGAGACAGAACCGCAACTTACAACCCCAGCCAGTTTCCTGGCGAAACGCTCTCTGACGCCGAAAGCTTTACCATTGGAGAAGGTCAAGAATCAGGCTGTCACGGGTGAGCGGAGCAGGTCGCCGGTGCAGCCATCCCCAGCACGCAGTGGACCTCCAGCTGGACTCACAGTCTCAACTTCGCAAGCTCCTGCGCCTGAGAAGACTCCTTCGCCATGGCGTCAGTCATTCTCTGCAGCTGTAAAGGAGAGCACATCATGGACAGCACACTCCAGGAAATCGGCATCAGTATCAGAACCCGCTTCAGCTGTGCCCGTTCAGGAGCATCCTGTAGTCTTCAAGATGGGAAGCAATAAGCGAGACAGCAGACATAAGGAGGACTCCGACAAGAACCCGCTCACCAGCGCTAGTATCAAAGGCCCAGAGGATTTTGAGATGTTTGTGCAAGGTGGTGATACAGTCAAATACACCCTTACACCGGAAAGCGTGAGAGGTGGTCCCGTAAGTCTCCTTGTGTGACACGTTGCAAGAACCTTACTGATTGAGAGATCAGTCGCCTACTGAAGCCGTCCCGCGTACGCAAGCAACGAGCTCGCGTAGCACAGACAAAACGCCTTCCTCCCCGAAGAAGCAAATTGCGGTCCCTGCTGTTCCAGTTGAGGACACACGCACTGGGAGAAGTCAGGTATCCAAGCAAGCCACCGCGGCTTCAGATGACGACGAAAGCCGAAGTACGAAGAGGGAGCACCGACGATCTATCTCCCGGCCTCCAGTTCGCAACACTAGTGTGCACCGGAAGAGCGGGCTCATGGCCCGCGAACCACAAGTTCTTACTGAATCTACAAGGGATTTCGCTGACTTCATCAGATCTACTGGACCCAGCAAAGAACCAGAAATCCGGCCTCTGGTCAGCAATCGCTCATCGATATCCTTACATTCTCTTGGAAGGGAGCCCAGCATTCATACACCTCGGTCTCATTCGCCTGCAGCATCTACTCGCAGCATGACCAGAACAGTAACTCAAGCTGCAGATGCGCCACCTGTACCTCCCATGCCAGCCTCAGCTTCTACCATTAACACCCAGAAAGTCAACATGCAGCCGAGGAATGCGCAGATAAATAATGCTGATGGCACTTCCGAGCTGATCGACTTCATTCGGACAGGACCAAACGGCGGCACGGCATCTGCTGCTGGTGAGCAGCGACAACACCGTATCTCCAGGACCGTGGCTCCATTCCGAACAACCATGGACTCGGACCAGCTTCAAGAATGGGGCGATAGGATCGCCGTCCAGCCTGATTTGAAGCTGAATACCAACATTCCTGTCAGCAGTATCGCACCGAGTGTGAGAAGTGCTTCCTCGGCCAAGTCATCAAATCGCGCATCAGCCAATTCCAGATCCGCGCTGCTTCAGAACAGTAACACGAGTACAACGACTGACAACACTCACCCTGCTTACGCAGACCATCCACCTCGATTGACTTCAGCCACTCCGAAGACGGTACTTTCATTAGGAGAAGCTGTGCCCAAACAGCGATTCAGAAACAAGGACCCTTACTCTATCGACTTGTCCGACGACGAAGATGATGATCTTCTCACTGCGTTGCCCAAGAACAGACGTCAAGAAGAGTCTCTTATTGACTTCCTTCGAAACTCGGAGCCACCCGAGACCAATAACCCGCGTGCTACTGCAAACGGCATCAAATCGCAGAGCGCGAGTGCAGCCGTTCCTCCTCCTCGCGGCAGTTCTCAGATAGCCACAGGAGGCTTGAAGACTTTCGGAGCAGATGCAGTGTCCATGGGTCGTCGTGGCTCAGCTGCAGCTCGGGATGGCCCACAGGTACCTCCGAAGACCAATGCACAACGTAACGGCACTACTGCCATCGCCGTTGGCCCAATCACAAAGTCGCGGGCAAAGCTTGAGGCTCGCAATGACGGCCCCAGGAGTGTCAATTTCGGAGGCACAACCGAACTGGCTGACTTCCTGCGAAGCTCCGGACCATCCGAGCCTCCTACCAAACAAGTCGACCGCGTTGAGCCTCTTCGCGGAGCTGGTATGCAAACGAAATCTTCGGCCAACATGAACAGACACAACAGCAAGGCGAGCATTAGCGCTAGTACAAGTAGCAAGAGAAGTTTGAGCGGCTTCTTCAGTAGCGTATTCGGGTCGAGAAGAAAGCAGCAATCTGCTGGATATCTGGATATGTAATGGATAAAGGAAAGGAGAGGGATTCACTACTGAGCCATTTGCGAGGCTCATCCAGACCAGACAATCTTGGATTTTGATCTATTCGAGGACACGGAGTTTTTTGTTTGTTTGTTTGCTGCAGCGCGGCGTTCGCTCATTGCATCACGGACGGCATGTACAGCTTCTATACCCAGGGAGGATGTTCAGCATACACATCTCGTCTTATGCTGCTCGTTTGTGTGTTTTCGAGATACCGTACATTCGCGTTAAAAGCGCAGTCGAGACAATTTCCTTGGAAGGAAAGAATGTGTGTGTGTTTGTGTGTGTGTGTGTGTGTGAGAGAGAGAGAGAGAGAGAGAAATGGACTAATGCCTAGATGTGGCTATCTGTACAGTTTGTTGTACAGTGAACAATTTTATGAGGCTGGTTGTGCTCATCAACTGCCTCCGAACCTCTTTCCTCTCTCACAATGTTATTGCTGCGCCTGTCTTCCGCATCCCCATCTACGCCGTAGGTCTACGCTCGCATGCTGAACCAGGTGACGTGGAACGAAGGGCAATGCCGTGCTATACAATCGCCATCTCCCTCTTGTTCATGAGCGGCAGATGATCGAAGGACCAGGTGAAGCCAATCGGAAATACCTGCCTGGCTGCATCATCTTGGCATATCATCGACACGGGTATTCTTTCCCACTCAAGCGATCTCGTGATGAGTAGTGCACCAGCCAACCAACCGGGACTACTCGGCCCGTATACCTCGAGCTGACTTTTCCAGATCAAGTTTGAATTCCGCCACGTCGGTGACACGGCGCGGCTTGCTGAGGGAGACTCTTTGAGTGGTTCACCCCAGAGGGAGGCAATGTCTGGGCAGTCATGGAGAACCCATCACTATAGAGCGCTACTATGACTGCAAAGGTTGGTCAAGTAACATCGTAGGCCGACAAGTTCGGACTTATCGACTCGTTTCGAGATCTCGTTCGGCAGTGGGAACGATCGGGCTCGCAACTTTGGGGAAGCGCTTCAACGGACAGGCTTGGCTTGTCGTATCAAGTGGCTTGGAAGAGGTCGAAAGTATGGCCGACGTTGGGTTGAGATCTACTTCTGGGGAACAGGTGGACTGCAAGCGTGACAGATCTCGATGGAGAAGGCCAGACATAGGCAAAGGCCTGAGATCAAGAACCGTTTTGGCCTTATGCCAAGCGAAGTGCTGAGTATGCGGCAGGGGAGGGGAAAAGGTAGATGACAGGCGCCTTCCCAGCCTCCACGGGCTCAAGAGTGGTCTGCGGAAAATGAGCGCATTCTCATATCTTTGACTGGACCGTATCCAAGTGCAGTGGAAGGAGCTTTTTCTAACCCATCGAGCGGCGGCTCATTGCAGACGGAGAGCCGATCGCAAAAAAAACTTCCAGATTTCACCGTTTCACTACCAGATCGCTTCGAATAACCCATTTCTCGCCTTCGGTGACCTCGCGACCTTCATGCAGAAGACAGTCTTTGCCATGTCTATGCAAGAGTGCCATGCCGACTTCTAGCTCGGCGACGACCGGCGGCGGCGCAGCCTCGCGCTTACTCGACGCTTCAGGATAGAACACTGTCTCGCCGCCTTGGCATCCAGTTGCTGGCGAGGTCAAATAGAGAAGAAGCGTCCAGGTCGTCTTCGCTGCGACACGGTTCGGAGATTCGGCCGAAGGGAAATCGATGTTGTTGCTGTCATCATCTGTAGAAAGCTTACTGTATCAGCCCAATCATAGCTTCTATCACAACAAGCTCATTTGCGTTCGCGTCTACTCACAGTGCTGATCGAAAAATTGCCCTTTGCTGTAGCGATAGATGCGTATATTGGGATTCAGACCCAAGACGTCGCCGCCCCAGAGCTCCGAGCGCGCATTTTCATCGAGCTCCACGCCGTCGATGACGGGCTGAGTGACGAGATCTTTCAAGGCAGTGCATGACCATAGCTGCTCGGCGAAGCGCGCATCGTTGACCTGGTACCTGTCGTTCACCCTTACAGCCTCGCCTTTTTTCGGCTTGCCGGGGGTGGTCACTAGCGGCAGCGTCTTGAGGAAGGTCACGTAGGATTTGCAAAGTTTACTCGTCCAAAGCTGGGAGATTGTCAAAATCTGGTCTTTCAACAGAATCTCGATTGCGAGCTCCGAGGACGGCAGAGTTTGGATAGGTGGCCAGTATGGGGCGTGGTTGTGCTGTGATGTAGCAAGTTGCATTGTGGTGGCCTTGTCCGGCCTCGGTTCGATGGTATTTGCTGACCTCTTGGTCGATTTTGATTTGGCGACCATCTTGTGGTAAGCGGATATGCGTAGGCTGAGTGGCACAATCGCCAGCTGTGTATCCACTCCGTTGAGCTTTATTTCATGGTACGCCCAGCTCGTCAGGCTGAAGGCTCTGGTTCGGCTGAGGCAAGAGGCAAGGTCTTGGCCGCTACAGCATGCGCCCAACAAGACTTGCACAGCTTGACGCGGGTATACATCAAGCAGCCAAGACTGCGCACCGTCGTGACACTTCCTGGTCAAGATGCAATGATGGCAGGCAACTCCTTTGCTCAGACGGGAAATGGACGTTCGTCGATGACTCTGATGGACTCGTGGAATACAGTACAGAGAGGCGCACAGGCGTTCGCGAATTATGCAAGTGAGTAAAGCATCTACATACCCGAAGCACAACGTGAAGTCCACGTTCAGAGGCCAGACGTGGCACGGCATGTGAGGGAAGTTGTGGTACTGAAAGCGGCTCTTGCGGGACCACTTCTACTCGCCTGTTCGATACGGAGTCTGGCCCAGAACTGCGTGTGGAAGGCAACAGGATGTCAGTCGAAGCAGCGACGTACCATTGCCGGAAGACTGACTTCACTGGACTCGACATGCCATACTATGCGAAAGACGATACGAAGCGTGCAAGAAGAGATTGAGTTCTGGAACCACGACTTTGTTGTCCGATACCCTTGGCTGAGGCCCGTGCCTTCGGAGCTAACGCCGCTTGATGCCGGCGATGCAGATCGTCCTTCCCTTCACCGCGCTGCTCTAACTTCTTGAGCAGGAACATCTCGACAAAGTGCAGGCCCGACCTCACTCCTTCCCACCTTACGAGCCCACGATCAGGCAGCAGCAGCAGCAGCAGCAGCAGGACATCGCGCACACCACCCTCGTCCACCTGTCGCACAATTCCCTACTGCTGCAGGCCCATCGTCCGCACTGCACCCGCACCCTGGCCTGCACCATCCACGCGAAGCTGCAAAGACTCCTGCTGGCCCGATCGGAGGACGCAATGCACTGTCATCTTGGCCCACACCACGAAAGATGGAAAGTGCTGGATCTGTTGCGCCTGCCGCCCCGGCACAATCCGCGAGCGAGTCGCACATCCTGACGGGAACGGAGCCGGAAGATGTGAAAGAGCACGCTGCAGAGACAAGCAATCCCCATTTGAGCCACACACCCGTGCCTGCACCCGCACCCGCACCCTTTACTCCCGCAGCAAACAGCAGACGGAGCTCTGGCCAGTGGCCTGGCATCGATACACCTGTCCAACCCATCGACCATGGAGTAGAGAGCAGCATCCGCAACACCGCTGCCCTTGGCCTCGACGATATGCCTAAGCCCGGAATGCATCCCGCACACGTGAATGGCAATGTGCCTGACGCCCAAATCCCACTCGCCCTTCACACGAACGCTGACGACGTCGCTGCTTTCACTTCTGCCGCTGAGGCCGCCTCATCCCATGAAGAACCTGATACCACCATGTCTGCTGCTGCCGAGGAGCCCACGCCAGAGGTCCACAATGCTTTCGCAATGCTTCAGTTCCCTGACAGCTATTGTTATGTCCACACGCCTTACCTTATGCTTGGTCGAGACTTGAAGTTCGAGGCATATGTCAAGGCACAGCGCAAACAGGAGCGCCGTGCGGCAAAGCGAGAGGCCAAAAGGAAAAAGGCCCAGCGGCATGCTGCGGAATTCCTGGCGAGTTACGAGCGAGAACCGAGTATGCCCTCCGTCTACGACGATCAGCTTGCCTCGGACGACGAGCCCGCTGATGATGGTGGACTTACGGGACATCCAATGCCCAGCTTGCTGAGCAACTACAGTCAGCAGGGCGGAGTAGTCTCATTTGTCGGCGAGGACGATCAAGATATGATCATGGCCCAGTATCAATATCGAAAGAAGAAGCTCAATTCGTCATCCAACCATTCGATTGCACCGCAAAGTCTCCACGACTTAGCTGAAGGCGATGCCCTCTACACGGAAGGCTACACTGGCCGAGAGTATCCCGACGCAGATCCCTCGGAATGGGCACAGCTGTCTGTGCATCCTCAGAACCCCGATGCCATTGGCTCCATCTCCAAAGAGCACCTCTTGCTGAAATACAATTCTGAGCTCGGCAGATGGGTCGCTGACGTCCATGGTCAGAATGGCATCTGGATCGAGGAGAAACATTACCAGAAAGGTGCGCGAGACATTATTCTCAATCATGGCGCTGAAATCTTCATTGGTGAAATCGGCTTCTTCTTCTGCCTGCCGTCCAACGTGGTCGCGCAACTTCAACAGCAGGAAATGGGACAGTTTGATGATGACGACGATGAGGTCATGGAGAGCGTGGAAGTTGATAGCGATGTCGAGACAAGCCCCGCTGCTCGACGGATATCCGATACTGTCGAATCCGTCCCGAGTGACGAGGAAGACGATGTTGCCCTTGCTGGCGCTCACAGAAGAAGAAGGCGAAAAAGAGCAAGGAGCCGAAGAAACCTCTTGGCAAAATCAAGCTTAGTCTCGGTAAAAAGGCTCGACCGCCTGCAGAGGAAGCCGCAGGTAGTGGCTCGGGCAAGGGCAAGGGCAAGGGCAAGGGCAAGGGCAAAGACAAGGGCAAAGGTAAAGACAAGTCTTCGGGCAAAACCACTACGAAGGCGAAGGCACAAGATGATGCGAAACCTGAGGATGCGAAAGCTGGAGAGCAGAGTCAACCTGCAGGCGAACCGCAAGCGAGGACGGAAGCTTCACAAGACCCAGCCGCACCCACCGTGGGTTCAGCAGATACGTCTGGTGAGCAAGCAACGAAGCCGCCGAAGCCAGAGCCTAAACTTGATCCCACTTCTGCCTTCGCGAATGCGGCACCCGGTCAACTTCCAGAGAAGCGGAAAGGTCCGGGCCGGCCACCAAAGAATGGTCTGCTCTCGAAGCGTGACGATGCTGCTGTCAAGCGCAAGTTGAAGGAATATGACCGCATGGGACAACAGCCTCCCGATCTTCAAACAGTGCTTGAGATGGTTCGTAATGAGCAGCGAGCCAAAGATGCTGCTGCGAAGGCGCAGGCCAAAGGTGAGCCGCTGCCCGATGCGCCAGTACCGAACATTGAAGCCTCAGGAGCGCCTCATCCGACGGTGCCAGTACCAACCCAGCCTGTTGGGGTCGCGCAGGCGCCAATACAGGGTAGTGTAAGCCCCAATGAAGTGCCGGCTCAGCGTCCAATGCCGCCAACGCTGCCTCGTCGGGCTCGCTCACCATCTCCAATCAAACCTGAACATGAATTCACGGAAGAGCAACTGAAGAAGCCCACGATGACCTACATCTACATTATTGATGAAATACTCATGAACATTGAGGGAGGACAAGCCGATCTGCAGACTATTTACGACAAGATACAGAAGCGGTGGCCTTTTTTCAAGTACAAGGTCAATTCTGTTGGTTGGCAGAGCAGTGTTCGACATAACCTGCTGCAATCCGACCGCTTCGTGGAAGCCGGAAAAAGTGGCAAGGGCAAGTACTGGACGATAGACCACAACTATCCCCTCAGCGACAAAAAGCGAAAACCAACGCCGCCTCCGCGACCGCAGATGCCCTACCAGTATGGACAATATGGCCAACAGCCTACGAATGGGCAAATGGCGTACAATCCAAATGGACAGCCTGGTTCAGGTAATTACGCAAGCCCATACACTGCGAATGGTTCGTATCCACCGCCACAGCAAGGTCCAATGCGCCAGAATTCAAACGGCCACTATCAACAGCAAGGACCTCATGCTAGTGGCCCTCCACGACCGCAATCCCAGCAGGCAGCACAGTACGATAGTCTCGTTAATGATCTTGTGCGGTTCAAGTTGCAGTATCTGAGCCAGTTCATTGCTGAGCAGAAGGAAGTTATGACCAAGGCTTTTGGCGAGCAATTAGCGGAGGTTGAGAACTTTCTCAAAGCAGGCGGTACAGCGGCCTCTGCAGCTGAGGCCAAATTTGATGGCAATTCAGAGCCATGCAAGACTCTTCTGACCATTTTCGAAGCACATAAGAAGGAGTGGGCGTCGCCGACTGTTCAGACCCCGCAGCCTGCAGATTCTTCAACGCCAGCGCCTGCACCGGCCGCCGCGCCAGGGACTCAGACTCCGGCGCCAGTTCAACCAGCGAACAACAACATCGCATCGCCACAGGCAGTGCCGCAAATGCCAGTAGCACAGAACGGCCAACCAAGTGTGAGACAGGACGGTCCGCAGAATGTGGCAGCAAACGGCCCCAGTGCCGCACCTGCTCCGCTACATCCACAAGCACCTCCGCAGCCGCCGTCTCAATATCCTCCTCACCCGCCTTATATGCAGGCCTCGGCCAGCGTGGCGCCTAATCAGAAGAGCATCACTGCAAGCGCTACGACTCAGAGCTCAGCTGCAGGCCCGCCGCCGCCACAATACACACACGGCCTTCCGACACCGCAGAATTCTGAAGCTTCATCTGCTTTGCCGGCGACGACCAATCCACCCCCAGCGTCAACGGCTTCAAATGCCATGCCAGAGAGCAACACGGACGAGACGACAAAGAGCCACGCTGCTACCGACAGCAGGGTGGAAGGGTTGCCAATCTCGCAGCCGATCGCAGAGCAGGAGAAGCAGCTTTCAAAGACCGCTTGTCAAGATACATGGCCGCCCCTGACCGAAACACGGCCGTCTTCTGCAGGAGTGAAGCGCCCTCGGGAAGATGAGGCCGAGGATATGGAAACGAAGCGTGTAAAGTCGGGAACAGAAACCGCTGGAGAGCAAAAATCACCTGAGTAGTACGACGGTCACCTCGGCTCTTTGATGGCAGGCTTTGCACAGAAGATGCAGCCTTCTCAAGTTCCTGTTGATCTTGGTGCTATGATGAACTCATTTGCTCGACGAATTCATCGCCGAAGCAGAGATTACAACACACTTGCCGGAACGTCGCCAGCAACAGCAATCGTTCTGGATGAAGATGTGCAGAGGCGTGGAAGGTCGACAACTAAAGGCGCACGGAGGCCGTATTGAGAGGGCACACAGGATTTGTGTCGCGGCAAGGACGCTGTAAAACCAAAAGGACACCTAGAGCTCGAAGCGAGCAGTGTTTACTGTGTGGTGAGATGGCACCGCATCGCATGAAACGAAATGGTATACACAAAAGGGACGAAGAAAAGTGAGAGAGATCCATCGCCGGACGATTTGAACCGTCAGCGTTCACTACTAAAGTAATGTTTGTTTGTTTTTTGATATGGGATTAGCAAGCGAGGAGTTGGTGGTTTGTCTGCACAGCATAACTCGACGGTCTTCGAGGACCAGGACTCGCTCGGCTTGCATTGGTGGGAAATGGGTTGAGAGGGGTGTTTAGCTGTCCATCATAGCATGACTACGAAATCACGACTTTGAACGTAAAATTAATGCGTTTGGCACATATCACCAGAATCTTGCTCAAGATGCTTCGATCTCAACGACAACATGATGAAACTCGATCCTAGAAGCTCTGTCGGAAGATTTTTCTGCCTTGTGGCGATGGTCATCGGGACCATAATCGAGCACCTTTGAACTGAAGGCGATTGTCTTGCTCCCTGGCATGAAGTTTTGGTACTTGGACTGTGCAGACGCTTTGCTTTCTTCATGGAGAGGAATCATACTGGGTAGAATAGACGCGATCCTTGTCTTGCGCTTCAGTATGGTAGTGGTACGATATCCACGCAATGTAAGAAGATTAAGTCGCTGATTTTGGGTTGGGGGGGGGGATTCATTGAGCATGATCTGGGTATCTCTCCATCTATCTATACAGATTCACTTAGCCAGGAATGCTTGAAAGGCCTTATTGTCGATCGCCACATTGCCCACAGCCCTGAGCTTCTTCCTCCCCTCTTTCTGCTTTTCCAACAGCTTTCTTCTTCTGGACACATCGGCCGCATGTAGCTTTTGCAGGACATCTTTCCTGAATGGCTTCAAAGTTTCTCTCGCCACGACTTTCTTTCCAGCGACGGCCTGAATGACGACCTCGAACATCTGTCGATCAACATGCTCTTTGAACTTTGTGACCCATGCTTTCCCGATGCGTTCTGCCTCGCTGTAGTGCACTATGCGAGCAACGGCGTCAACGGGGACTTTGTTGACGTGCAATTGCAGCTTGAGGATATTGGCTTTTCGGTAGCCAGCGTCTTCATAGTCAAGAGATGCATAGCCTTTGGTCGTCGATTTGAGTTTGCCGAAGAAATCATCGACAAGCCGCTCGAGAGGAAGGAGGTATTTGAGAATGACTTGCGTTGCAGTGAAGAACGACAGGTTTTGCTGGACCCCACGATTGCCTTCGCAAAGCTCGATCACTTTGCCGAGATACTCCTCTGGCAAGGTAATGGTGGCCTCAACGTAAGGCTCCTCGAGCGATGCTACATTCTGGTACACTTCTGGGCCTTCTGGGAAATGGTTGGGATTCGAGATCACCTCTTCGCGACCGTCTCTGCGAACGACCTTGAAAGGCACGGAGGGCGGCGTGATGATGATATTGGCGCCGTGCTCTTGGCGCAGACGATCTTCGAAGACCGAGCAGTGAAGTGTGCCCAGAAAGCCGAGACGCCAGCCTGCGCCGAGTGCTTCTGAACTCTCTTTTGTGACCGTCACAGATCGGTCGTTGAGCGTGACTTGGTTGATGCTGTCCTCCAGGTGAGCGTAATCGCTCTGATCCGTTGGAAAAGCTGCGACGAAGACCATTGGCTTTGGCTCTTCGAATCCGGGTAGAGGCTCGACCAATTTTCTGCTCGCAACTGTAGTATATGTATCTCCGATCTTTGCTTCCTTCTGTCTCTTCATGCCTGGATTCATGTAGATGTATCCAACTTGACCCGCGCGAAGCACTTTCTGAGGAGTCTCGAGTGGATACATGATACCAACCTCGCCGACAATGTATTCCAGTTCCGTCGCGAAGGAACAAAGTCGATCACCTGCTTTGACCTTGCCCTCAAAGATGCGCACCAGCAGAATGACACCACGATAGTTGTCATACCAGCTATCCACAAGCAGAAGCTTCAATGGCCCATTTTCATCTCCAACCGGCGCAGGAATGTCGCGCACAATTGTTGGAAGCAGCTTTTCGACATTGAGACCAGTCTTTGCAGACACCATAACAGCGTTGGAGGCATCGAGCTCAAAAGTGTCCTTGAGCTGAGTAATCGTTCTTTCAGTATCGGCGGAAGGCAGATCTACCTTATTCAGGACGGGGATTAGTGACAGGTCTTGTGCGAATGCCAAATAGAAGTTGGACACCGTCTGTGCCTGTACTCCTTGTGAAGCATCAACGAGAAGTAGAGCACCTCCACAACTGGCATAACTTCTGCTCACTTCGGCTCTGAAGTCCACGTGTCCAGGCGTATCAACAAGATGCAGCAGGTAGTCTTCTCCATTGTGGTTGTACAGCATCGAACACGTCTGCGCCTTGACGGTAATGCCTCTTTCTCTCTCCACATCGAGCTTGTCCAAGATCTGCTTGTTCCCTCCCGGTTGGATGGTGCCCGTCAACTCCAGCAGGCGGTCACTGAGCGTGCTCTTGCCATGATCAACATGTGCGACAATGCAGAAATTGCGGAAACGTTCGATGGGTATCTTTGAGATGCGCTCCTCGATGGCAGAGGGCGTCGGAGCGGCGAAGAGGCGAGCAGTAGTGCTCAGTCGTTGTCGCTGAAAGCCATTGAAGGCATCAGCAGCGATGATGCTTGACTGCCACCAGGAGCGGCAGAAGCCATTGGTACTCCTAGTCGCCAGGAAACATCGTCGCATGGGTGTGAGTGCTGTTCATTACTCTTCTGAACATCTGCTGCTGCGATGCATCTCTAAAAGTCTTGGCGCTATACCTCGTTACTACGCCAACCATCTATATAAACATCGCTACATCTCATTCGACCGCCGACGAGCACTGCAACACCACACACCACAAACCACCCAAGATGTCTTCCTCGCGCAGCAAAGACCCATCAGCCACCAAAAAATCGTCCTCCAAGTCCTCCAAAGAAATCGACACCCACAAACTCGCCCTCCGCGGCTCCTCCAAACTCGTAACCGAATTCTTCGAATACAGCATCAACACAATCCTCTTCCAACGCGGCGTCTACCCACCCGAAGACTTCGCACCGGTGAAAAAATATGGATTGAACATGATGGTGACCTTGGACGATGAAGTCAAAGCGTACATCAAGAAAATCATGTCGCAACTCAGCAAATGGATGCAAAAAAGCAAGATTTCGAAACTCGTCGTTGTGGTCACTTCCAAAGACACGGGGGAACATGTTGAGAGGTGGCAGTTTGGTGTGGATGTGATGGGAGACAGCAATAATAGCAACAAGAAGAAGGCGAGGAAAGGGGAGGGAAGTGGCGATAAGGAGAATTCGGAGCCCAAGACGGAAGAGAAGGAGAAGGGTGAGACGGAGATTCAGGCGGAGATTCAGGCGCTTTTCAGACAGATTACGGCGAGTGTGAGTTTTCTGCCGATGTTGGATGGGAATTGTACGTTTAATGTTTTGGTGTATGCGGATGCGGATAGTGAGGTGCCGCTGGAGTGGGGGGATAGTGATGCGAAGGAGGTGAAGAATGCTGAGAAGGTGATGTTGAGGAGTTTTTCGACGAATTCGCATCGCGTTGATACGGTGGTTAGTTATAGGTGAGTGTTTCGATACGAGAGAGAGAGAGCATGGGCGATGTGAGACGGTGCTGACTTATGACTTTAGGCTGGCGGATTGATGACAGGGTGCTTTTGCTTCATAGGCGAAGTTGAGAGATGACCTTTGTAGTTTGTACATGGCTGCTGGATTTTGGGCATTTTGTGGTATTGGGTCTCGCACAGCATCAGGATGAGCAAGGGCCCGGAGAAGTCAGGCGTTCTGGAATAGTAGAGAAGCGGCTGAGGCTGGTTCACCACGGCGTGTTTCATACCAAGGATACCCTATATCTGAAAGCGGAGCGCTGGCCTTCTGTGATCCACTTTTGGCGACATACGAGAATCGATTCAGTCTCAACGTCAAATATTCTATTCATGCAGAACTTTCCAGCTCCTCGGAGACAGGAACGCGTGCGAACACATGCCTCTCAATGAAACTCGTGGCCGCCTCTAGGCACTGGCTTCCGCTTCGAAAGCGTGGGTGCAACGTGGTAGCAGAGCAGGAGACGCAAGTGAGGTACTGCAGTACTTCACCTGGATGACTGTAGCTCTTTAGATGTGCGGCTCGTGAGACGGACGAAACTAGCACGAGGGGCAAAGTCACACTACTCTAGCAAGGCTGATCCGGTTGTGAGGTGAAGCAGTAATTCACTTCTGCTTCACGAGCAACTCCAGCCGCTCTATTTACACGTGGCGGATGATGATAGCTGCGGTGTCCGCAGGCCTTCTCTGGATTACTGAATCGTTAGCCAGTGTCAGCGACTCAGAGAACGTTAGTCTCGGCCTGGCAGAAGTCAAGTCAACGGAAGCTGTTAGTGCCGTCCTCGAGCTCTCGAGATATGCCATATACAATCTTTGCATACTCCTGTCTCAATTCATAGATCCTGTGTGCTCTCGCCGCACATCTCTACGGATTATTATTCTGCGGCAAGCTGATATGCGCTGCGTGATCTCAAATCCATGACTTGCCTCGGAATCATTCCTCCTTGGATTTTCTCATTGTTTGATACACGTTTTCAAATCCATTGTGCATATTAATAATAGAGAGCAGAGCTGTAAATGTAGCACGTGACAAAAAGTCCAAATACAATCCTTCCACGTCTTGTAATGTCCGAATAACGTTTGTCTCCATCTCCTTGCATTGCATAAGGGCAGCGGTTGTGCATATGTGCTTCCGCGCTGCATATGAAACGCTCCGAACAAGTGCTATATATGTATTCGTGATCTCTTGGCGCTTCGTGCCTGGCACTATTGAAACTCTTACAGTAGCATGTTCAGTCGTGCGCTCAACCGCAGCTGCAGGAAATAAGTGCACAATATAGCGCAGTCTTATAGAGTTGTTGAAGATTTTGAAGTGCTCGATGTGCCGTGTAGCACTGGGCGAGCGCGCAGCATCGAGAGATGGCTCGGGCGCAATGAGTGATGTTGTCCCGCTCCACTTCTGGTTCACTTTTGATCGCGGTGCTGCTCGACTCAACTACCTCTCGCGGAGCTGCGCATCGTGTTCAGGTATCCCAGCTCATACCGGCTCTTTCGAGAAGAGTCTGACTTGCTCGCGCGAATTGAATCGTACCTGCATAACAGGGGGTTTAGAATAGGCCATCGACCGCCTCGTTATGTCTGCATGTCATCTTTCCAGCTTCCTTTCAACTAGGCACCTTGCGCAGTAGGTTTGAATTGGCAGTTGCGCTCCGTGCACGCGGAAGTGGCTCGCGCTAGTGCACTAGCATGTGAATAAACTCCAACCTGTTACCCGTGCGTAAAGGATTAAGTGAATAAAAGCACGGGTAACACCTTAGTCTCAACCTGTTACCTGTATACGCTTATATAATCGAAAATACGCTAATTAGACCCTATACTAGGCCGTTAATAGTTAAGTAAAGGAGTATATAGAGCGCTTAGCGTAGTAGCTTAAACCCTGCCCTCGGCTTCTATTAAATTCCTCTCCGCTAGTATAGTACCTATTATATACTAGTCGCTATATAACCCCTACCTATATATATAAAAGCAAAGAGTTTAGTAAGAGGTATATAAAGGTTAGCGGACGGCTACTAAGCTTTATATAGGTCTAATAGCTAGTATGCAATTACTCTAAGAGCTGTTATAGGAGGAGTTATAGATATCTTAGAAGAGAGCGATATAATTAGAATTAGGTCTATACCTTAAAAGAGGTATATATTAGGGCTTCTAAGAGTATAGAAGGTACTTAGAAGCTTAGATTTGTTAGCAAATACCTCCTATTTAGAGCATCTTAGCACTATAGCGGCTCCTATTACCCTAATATATACTCTACCTAGAATTACCTTTCTTCTCGACCCTAATTTTAACTTCTTTTAAAGCGATCTATACCCTCGCTTAGGTCCTTCCTTCTATATACTACTAGCTATGTTCCGCGACTATTATAGTTAACTTGCGCTATATAGTCTAACGCAATTACTTGCTAGTAAAGTCGTCTATAAGCTAGTAGCTAATTAAGACTATAAAGTAAGTAATTTAGTTACTTCTACGCTAGTCGAAGAGGCCGCTTCTACGCTAGTCGAGAGACTAATTAAGGAGCCTATTTCTACGCTAATTTCTACGCCGATTAATACTTAATCTTTAGCTAAATAACTATTATAAGACGACCTAATCGCCGCTTCTATAGTAGAAGCTAATACCGCTAATACTCGAGTACGTAGATATAGCTATATCTCGCCTAAGTATAAGCTTACTTTCGTTAAAGTAGCTATAGCGATTACTTATAAGCGAGTCTCCGGCAAGATCCGTTAGTAGAATACTAAGCTAAAGAATGTTATAATAGCTTACTAGCTACGAGATAAGCCGACTATTAGTAACGCTTTCGTTATTCTATATCGACTAGTCTATTAGCGTATAGAAGCTAAGCGTACTATTAAAGCGGCTTCTAGAGCGGTTATTATAGATATACTATAGGATTAATTACTAGATAAGGCAATCGATACTATATTCTAGCTCGATAAGGTATAGCGAGAGAGGATATTATAGTCTTAAGAACTAAGGGTCTTTAACGCTCCGGCATAGAATATACGAGATAATACACTATCGATACTCTCTTAGCAGTCTAATAATAAAGTAAAAGTACCTATACTAATACCGAGCGCTCTAACTAAGCTATCTCTAGATCTAAATCTACCGTTAACTCTAGCTCGGCGTATAGAGGTTATCGACTTAAATACGCTAAGTACTAGCAATAATAGCAATACTATATAGCTTACTAAGCGTCGTCGACTAGACTTCGAGTCTAAACGGCTTTAGTATAGCTCGTAAGTATAAGGAGCTATACTTAAGGAGGTACTATTACCTATATTTAAGACGCTAAGAATACTAGCTAAAGGACGTAGTATAAGACAAAGATTATCGTCTATAGGTACCTCTATTAGTAGCGTCGATAGCGAGGGACTCTATATACTAAGTCCTACTAGATTTATAAGCACCGTCGGCAGTATTAACGACAGACTCGAGATAAGAGTTAATACGGCTATTCGAGAGGTTAAGGCGAAGAGAGTATATTAATTAGATATAGTCTAGTCTAGTATTTAGGCCTTGTCCGTAATAATTACTTTTTTATTGCTATTCCGGCCCTTACTATTGTCTTAAATAGTAGCTTCTAATAGTACTATAGGAAGTTAAATAGAGTCGCTAGACTACGATAACGATAGCGACTATTTCGTAGACCTTAATACTATTAAGGAAGAGGTATTCTCGTAGATAATTTAATCTCTTAGGGTTAGGGTTAGGGTTAGGGTAAGGGTTAAGCTTAGGGTATTACAATTGTTATATTCTTGTTATCGAGAATATTGTAATTACTTAGTTAATATCTTCTTTTACGAGTGCCTATTCGAAATTGTAGCTTCGTTCGGTACGAGAGTACTAAGACCCTCTATATCTAATAAAATCGCGGGGTTAGAGCTCGAATAGCGAACCCGTACCGACGGCTCTAAAGGACTCGTAAAATAGGATAGGTATTATAGTATATAGCTTGAAGTAATATAGAAAGCCGAGATTTTATTACTTAGTAAGCAGGCTTCGACCTTCTACGACTCGCTACGTAATAACGTACTACTCGTTTTCGCTCGTTTTTAAACGATAAAACGCGCCGTATACTAAAGAATATAGCGTACGTAAGAGTATATAGAATTAGTAATATTGTTATTATATTTAAAGTCGCAAAGCATCTCGTATAATATACTATACGCTAGTACGGGTATACCCGTATCTACTACTTTCCTATATCTTCTACCTCTATTTCCTAATTTAATCTTCTTCTATTATATTAATAACTTTAATCTCGTCCGTCTTATAGAATAGTATAACCGTACGACTATACCTAAACGAAGCGCTACTATCGAATACCTCGTCGCTAGCTTAATAGCCTAATCCGAAGTCCCTACTATAGCGTTGTAAGAAGGGTTATATTAGTAGGTAGATAGGGTAGTAGTAGGTATAAGTAGTATTCGATCGAGAACTAGGAGGAGAAGGAGGAAGGCAGGCTAGTTAGCCTAACGCTAAGCGCTAAGCCCTGCCTAAGGCACTAAGACCCTAGCTTTACTCGGCCTAATTACATACTAATTACATATAGCCTCTTTAGCCCTAATATACGCTTCCCTTCTAAAGGCCGCGCCCTCGTAGCCTGTCTATATTCTACGACCTCTATTGCCGCTAACTTAGCAAGTCTAATAAGCTACCTAGCTTATACTAAATTAAACACTTAACTACCTAATTATATAACTATATCAAACCTTACCTCTAATATAATATAATATGCAACTCTAACTGCGCTATTCTTATATATAATAAAGTAATATATATTTACAAGAATTAAGGGCCTTCGACTAATTATAATACGAGCGCGTCTTCCCTACTATAATAGGTAGACGTACGAGGTATTATAGCCCTGCCTCCGCTCTAAGTAATATCGTACCGAGTTCTTTGCGTCTACTCTTAAAAGACCTAGAAATGTCCGCTCCGAGGGTTTGTCCGTTCCGAGGGTTGTTCTTATTATTACAAGGACTATTATTTACTATCGTAGTTTTACTAGCCCTAATTAGTTAGGTTTAGCAGCCTTTAAGTGTTAACTAATTATATCTTTTTAAAAAACTCAGTTCTTCTAGTTTCTATAGGTAAAGGCTATTATAAGTGCAATAGTTAAGGTTCGCCTCGCTTAAAGAGTTAGAAAGATTAAGGAGTAACCTATTATCCGCAAGATCGACCCTAGCTAGCTTAGCTCTATAGTTTTTGCCCTTAGTTAGTTAGTCTATTAAGCTACTTAATCTTTTAAACCTTAATATTTTAACTTAGCCTTAAAGTTTTAATTAAACCTTTAATAGATTTAATCTTTTAACTTAGTTAGTATAGTACTTTAGGCTCGTAGTATAGGTAAGGTTAACAATAGTAGCGAGCAGGTAATATTAATAACAGCGGCGCTAGTCGTCTTAGCGCTAACTTTACCTTGCTTCTAATTTCCTTCTTTAACTAATAACAATATTAGTAATACCGTTACTAATATAGTCGCGTCGTCTTCCTTCGATTAGTAACACACTCCGTAATACTATTACCGATATAGCCGCGCCGGCTATGCCGCCTTTTAGTATAGGCGCGACGCCGTTATTATTATTATTATTACTATTTACGCGCGCGCGCGCCGTCCTTACTAATCGCCTAGGCCTCGAGGCCTCGATAGAAGGAGGGAATAAGAGGGGGACCTATAGGGCGCGTTAGTAAAGAGGTAGAATCCTTAAAAGAGCAGGCGATTAGTTAACGCGTTATAGCGCGCCTAGTATAGTCTTATTGTCCTTTATTGCTAACAATTGCTTACCTCTAATTAGTTAGCTAATAGCACTCTAGGGGTAGTATTATTCCTAGGCGACATTATAGGCCCTTAGCCTTCTTCTTATTCTTTATACTAGTCTAATACTTATCTAACAACTTAGCTATATCCTTAAAGGAATCTTTAGCCTCCTACGAGTCCTATTTAGGTAAATAGCCTTACTATCTTAGGAGGTACTCCTTCTTGCCTTATCTAGTCCGATGCTTTAGGATACGTTCTATAGACTATAGCTCTTTACCGTCGGCTAGTATCTCTTTATGTTTAGTAGGGGCTTCTTTAGGGCCTCCGCGGTAGTAGTATAGTTTAAGGAGGGAGATATAGAAGGTATTATAGATATTATAGTATAGTAGGAGCTGTAACTAATAGGCCTAGCTATTGCCCTTCGGTTCTCGGATTCGGAATAGGCTAATAAACCGTAGTGCTAGTTTAGGGCGTATTTTGCTATCGGGTAATAGGTGTTTACGGATGCGGAGGTTCTTTATACTAAGTATAACTATATCGCCTTACTTAAAGGTTATCGGTATATAACGCTTATCGTAATAGGTCTTTTAGTACTCTTAAGCCTTTGTTAGCTTCTTAGCTATCTTAGCATAGATTTCTCGCATCTTTTAAACCCTCTTAATAGCCGCTAGTATCTTAGGTTAACCCGCTTCCCTTTCCTTACGCTCGGCCTCGAGCGATAGGGGGTCTTATAGCATAGCAGCGTTCTAGCCTATTATAGCTATATATAGTAATACCTTAGTTGATAAGTAGACACTATTATTATACACGAATTTAGCTAGCTATAGGAGGTTGACCTAGTCGTTAGGGTTCTCGTTAATGTAACTGCGCAGGTACTGCTATAGGGTAGTATTCTGCCTCTCGGTATAGCTATCTATCTATAGATAGAAGGCTATAGATAGCCGATGCTTAAGTCTTAGCTATAGGCATATCTTACTCTAATAGTAAGATATAAATGTCGAGCCTCGGTCGGAAACTATCCCCTTAGGGGTTCTCTAATAGCTATAGAAAATATTATTCTATAGCGCTTCTACTATATTAATAGAAGTCTAATCCTTCCGAGTAGGGATATAACGAGCGCCTTTAGTAAATCGATCTACTATAATAAGGATAGCATTATACACGTCCTTACTGCCCCTACGCTTAGTAGGAGGAAGGCCTATAATAAAGTCTATTATAAGCTCTACAAATGGTTTCTTTAGAACAGTAAGTAAAGACAATTCCCCGAATAGTAAGTGCTTGGGTGCTTTAACTCGCTAGTATACTACATAGGTCTGTATATATTCCTTTATATGCCGCTTACTATTTAGCTAGTAGTATATGCGCGATAGTAGCTCGTACGACCTCTCTATACTATAGTAACTAGCGAGTTTACTATTATAGTGCCTTTTTAAAAGCTCTTGTCTAATCGATTGTTTAGCGGGGACATAGTATCTGCCTTTAAACTTCAAGTAACCTTTGTCGTCGATCGACTAATTATTACTCTTACTAGATCGAGTCGTTCGCCTACTTATAAGCTTATCGATACATTTAGTAGCAAAGGCGTCCCTCTACTAAGTACGTAATAGCTCGTCTATAAACGATTAACTATCCCTGTTTGCAAAGTTATTTAACAGTACCCTCGCTATTAAACGAGGTACGTATTATATGCATCTAATAGCACTAGTAGCCGGATTAACTATAGTAGTACTATCGCTATTACTATATATTGCAATATCGACTAGGGAGTTATTATAACTTCTCCTATCTATGTCCTTAGCCCTTGCCTTAATACGTACTATTAATATAGCAAGAGCATTAATATACTTTAAGCCGTCGCAGAGTCCGGTAAGCCGCTTATCCTACGCTTACTTATTAATAATACGGGCTATAGCAATCTTATACTATAGGGTTAGAAACAAAGAATTAATATGCTAGGTCTCGCTATTATAATTAGGTCGCCTTAATAGGCTATTAGTAGGGTTACTTACGCCTAGCCGATATAATATATTAAAATCAAACCTAGCGAGGTAGACGGCCTATCTAGCCTATCGACCTATAACCCTAGTAACCTTCGTAATTCTACGGAGGTTGTTATAGTCCGTATAGACCTAAATAGGGTGCTAAGCACTATCGAGATAATAGCGCTAGTACTTAAAGGCTTCTACGATTACTAAGAGCTCTTGCTCGTAGGTTTCGTACCGACGTTCTATATCGATTATCTTCCGTAAAAAGAAGGCGATTAGGTGCTAGTAATTGTTACTAGCCTATTGTAATATAATAGCTAATACAGCGAACTATAAAGCGTTAGTCTTAATTCGGATCTGCTTGCTTAGTACGAAATAGTATAATAAGGGGACTTTAGTAAAGCGTTGTTTTAGACCGTTAAAAGCGGCTTGTGCTCTATTAGTCCATTTAAACTCTCTAGTTAGATTGGCCTTAGTTTTAGTAAGCTTAGTTAATAGCATTATATGCCTCGAATAGCCCTTAATAAACCGGCGGTAGAAGTTAGCAAAACCGAGGAATAATTGAAGCTTTTTAATAGACGTAGGAATAGGCTATTTAATAATTGTTTTAATCCGATTAGGGTTAGCCCCCACACCACCAGCCAATACGAGGAAGCTAAGGAAGGGCACCTCTTTAGCAGCGAAGGTGCATTTAGAGGGCTTATAGTATAAGCTATAGGCCTATAGGCGGTCGAGCACCTTACGTACTCTAGCCTAGTATTCTACAATATTAGGTAAATAGATATAAACTAGGATATTATCTAGGTAAACTACATAGAGGTAGTCTAATAGGCCTAAAAGGGCCCGATTAATATAGGACTAGAATATTATAGGGGCATTAGCTAGCCCGAATAGCATAACTAAGTACTCGAAATAGCTATAACGGATATAGAAGGCTGTTTTCTATTTATCGCCCTTACGAATACAAATGCGGTAATAGGCGTCCTTAATATCTAATATAGTATAGAAGTAGGCGCTAGAAAGACGATCGAGGGTCTTATTAATAAGCGGAAGTAGATAACGGTCTTTAATAGTAACAGTATTAAGCCCTCTATAATTAACATATAAACGTAGGCTACTATCCTTCTTTAGTACGAATAGGATAGGTATACTAGCAGGGCTGTTGCTATACTAAATTCGACTATTAGCTAGGTTCTTATCTAGGTACTTACGCAATATAGTAAGTTCTCGTTTACTAAGGTTATAAAGGGGCCTAAAGGGGACCTCTTTGCCCTCTATAATATTAATCTTATAATTAGTCTCTTTAAACATAGGCAATGTCGATGCTAGGTAGTGTTTAAATACATTAATATAGGTCTCTCGAATAGGTAGTAGTATACGAGCAAGCTAATTAGGATCTATACTATTAGAGGGTACAGGTTTATCGTTATCTCTACCGAGAAGGTTAGCCGTCGGATTAGCTAAGGTAGGCGTTAGGTTGCTAATAAATAGGACCTAGATATCGTCGGGATACTCGCTAATATTAATGTATTTAATGTCCTCTCTCCTAGCGATTCTAAATCGCTACTATTAACTGCCTAAGTCTATAACTATAGTATAGTGCTTAAGAATAGGGTTGCTAATAATAATATCGAATAGAAGGTTGTCTATGTCTACTACGTAGGCAGTGAAATCTAGTAAGCGTTTATTGCCGAGGTCGTCTTTTAGAACTATAGGAATATAGTAGGCCCTATAGGTTAAGTGCCGAGCGTTATTAAACTAAGCGAGGGTTAGTATATTAGTTCTAGGCAATTGTCGGAGGTCTAATTACTTAGCTAGGCGGTAATTAATAAGGGCGCTAACCGAATTTCCTAGATCTAGCATAACCTTAGTCTTATAGTTGTCTCTATATATATCTTATATAAGATAGGTGCGTATAATAGCTAGTACTATGTCGATAGTTTTACGCCGCATAAGGCTAATAGTTAGTACGGCGCTTATTCCTTTTTCGACTAATAGGAAGGGCCGATAGGGGTAGCATTAGCGGCTAAAAGGTGCTTTCGGTACTTAGTAGTAGCACGGTCGATTCGGGCCTAGTTCTTAGGTTTGTTATATTAGCCTAGTAGATAGCTAGTGCTATTACAATTAAAGCACTTTAGTCCGGTTAGAACATTGCTATAGCTACTATTGCTACTATTATTAGTTAGGCGATTAGTATTATAGGGATACGAGCCCCTTCTACGGCCCCTATTACGGCCTCCTTTATATAGCTGTCGGCTACGGCCTCTTCTATGGTCGTTACTGTTCCTATTATTAGCACTATTGTTTTAGGTAGAACCTTAGTTTCCTCCTCGGCTACGGTTGCTATAGTTAGTACTAGCTAGTCGGATCCTCGATTCTAGTCGTTACTAGAGCTAAATAGCTCGTTTAGCTGTTTCCACTTCGACTATAAATTAAATGCGTATTAGATTAGCCTGTTTAAATACACGGCGGCGGTCTAATTTAAGGACTAGTTCCTATCTTAGTTTAGGTCGTATCTTAGATATCTAGATAGAGTCGGTTTTAGGTAGCAAATCGTCCTTAAGGGTCTTTAGATAGGCCTCGAAGGATCGAGAGGTTTAGTCGGCCTTTTGTTTAGTACGTAGGTATTAGTCTTAGGCGTGCTACTAGCGCAATATAGGGTTACTAAGGGTGTTTAGCATAATAGTCTTATAGTCTTGCTACTAAACAACGGTCTGGTTGTTAAGGGAATTAAAATAGTTATCCTAGGTGCGTTTTAGGTCGCTATTAATATACTATATAGCATAGACGACTAACGAATAGTCGTCTAGAAGGGCCCTCGGTACGTTTCGCTAGTTAAGCTTATAGTTACGAATATAGTCGTTATATTGCTTTCAACTAGAGCTGTTAAACACAGTATAGTCCTTAAGTTTAGCATCCTTCTTTTAAATAGTTAGCGAGGAAGGCCCTACTGCTAGTTTAGTATTAGTTATTAGAGACTTCTATAGGCGGCGAATTTCGAGGAGATTATCCTTTAGCTATTGTTCTTAACGCAAGGCAGTAAGCCTGTTCTGAGTGGCTTCTTAAAGCCTCGCTATCGGCTAGGGCCTAAAGGCTAGTTAGCTATATCGTCGATTAACAATGTTGTTAAGAATGTCGTTAATAGGCAATTCTAGGTTATTACTAGGAATTATAGGTTCTTCTTTAATAGGCCCTCTAGTAGGCTCTTTAGCAGGCACTTTAGTAGGCACTTTAGCGGGAACTATACTACTAGCGTTGTTATTGCTAGCGCTGCTAGCGGCGCTGCGGTTGTTGTTGCTTCGTAATAAGCCGGCTATTATAAGGGGTAATACTAATAATATATTATAGGCCCCTAAGATACGGATATAGCGGGATTAGTAGGTATCGGCTTAGTGCGATTAACTTAGTATAATAGGCTATATAGAAGGCCTTGCTTAATAATTAGTACGGTTGTTTTAATAGAATAGTACGTATAGGTCCCGTTCTTCGGGCGTAATATAGTTAAATCGATAGTTTTCGTAGCTATACCGCTAAAAGCTTAAAATAAGGACTATCTAGCTACTGCCCTTAAAGGGTAGATCGAATACTATATAAGAAGGGTTATATTAGCAGGTAGATAGGGTAGTAGTAGGTATAAGTAGTATTCGATCGAGAACTAGGAGAAGAAGGAGGAAGGTAGGCTAGTTAGCCTAAGCTGCCTAACGCTAAGCGCTAAGCCCTGCCTAAGGCACTAAGACCCTAGCTTTACTCGGCCTAATTACATACTAATTACATATAGCCTCTTTAGCCCTAATAAGCGTAGAAGGTCGCTATCGTTAGTTTAAGCTATAGGTATTATAGGTAGAGATAGTAGGTTAGCGAGATATTCGTATATACTCGGTAGATTTACCTTATATAACCGACTAATCTTATTGCTACGATAATAAGTAAGGCAATTAGTAAGTAGTATAGTAATAAGATATATCGCTCCGACCGGTATTAACTCGACTTAGAGCCTATAGAAGTACTTTATTAACTCGAAGTTATTAATAACCTTAGTAAAGCCCTATTCGACCGACTAGCGTATAGTACTTATCTCCTTTACCGCCGTAGCCTTACTAGTATTACGAAACTCGCTATTCGTCGTCTTCTAGCTTCCTATAATACTATTAAGGATATTATAGGCCTAATTACTATATAAGAATACCTGCTCTTCGAAGGGTCGTTATAGCTACCCTAGCGGCTCGAAATAGGACTTCTAGATATCGTTAAAGCTAGACTCTAGTACTAAAGCTATATCGCTATAAGATCTAGGCGCTAGACCGTAGATTAATATTATACTATCTAGTAGGACAATGCCTTAATATTTAAGTCTATAGAAGTGCTTATAGCTATTATAGAACAGCTACTAGTTATAGGTCGGTCTATAGCACTTCTATAGTATACTATCGATATAACCGAAGACGTACTTTATATCGATTAATCTAGTAATAGTAACGGCTATTCGCTATAAGTAGGCTTTACTTAACCTATTAAAGTCCTATACTAACCTATCCTTCTAACGCCTTACTATTTAAGTATAGCTAGCATTAAATATACGACTTCGGACTAATCTAGCTATTACTACGACTAAAGATCTAGCTTAAGTTACGTTAATAACCTAGATTACTAAGCCTTCTATATATAATATATAATACTATTACTAGATTATAACGTATGCGGTATAGTAACTTAATCGACTTAATATCTAGTAACTTAGCTAATTCTATTACTTATTACTTACTAAAGCGGAAGTCGCTCTTAAAGTTAGTATTAGGGTACGTTTCTAGTAACTATTACTTATCTCTTAGATACTCGCGTAGCTCTTTATATAGCCTATTACTACGAGCCTATCTATACTAGTATTTACGCTTAGTCTTACCCTCTCGGCGAATAGCTAGATCTAGTAGATTGTCGACGTTAGAAGCTAAGATAGCTATAGTTGTTACTATTATTCTACTATAAACGGCGATTATATCTTTATTAAGTTTACTATTAGTTAAGAAGCCGTCCGAGTCGTATTCCGCTATAGTATACTATAGTAATAGCAATCCTATCTGCCTACTAATTATAGTAAGGTCTAAGACCCCGGGCGCGTCTTAGCACCTCTGTTGCTTACTAAGCAGTCGATCGAGCAACGCTACTAAATTGCCTACGCAACCTCTTATTAACCGTTGGTCTGGTTATTCACTTTCCGCCGCTGAAACGGCGCTATTCGCGGCTTCTTACATATGCTAAACGGCTAGAAACCTACTGCGCAAGGTGCCTACTGCTGGGTTTCCGTATGCAATTCGTAGGGCGCGCCCGGTTGAGGTATCCGGATCGCCATTTCGTGGGTGGCTGAGAATGACGAACAAGCGCATGACGCGAGATCTCGCGACGACAGTAGTACATAGACAGTACCAACCGCGAACTCCCTCTCGCCGGCAAACAAATTCTTTCCGTTCCAGAACAATCGCCACGAAAATCGGCACCAATCTTCGAACTGCCAGCGTAATGGCGGTACCGCAAAAGGTTCCTTGGATCTGGCAAGACACGGCCTATACACGCCTATTCTATAGTGTGTGGTATCCGGCATTGCTCGGCACTCAGACAGGGGCAACTCAGACCTCACTTTCTCCGCTGCGAAGCAGATCTCTTCGCAAAACATTCCGCTCTCGTGTCTCTGGCGACACGTTTCGGATCCAGGCACCATCAATTTGGACGGAATATGGCCTAGAAGCCGAGAACCCGCTTTTGCCTCATGAATCGAAGACATGTATGCAGCTTTCCGTCCGTCTCTCGCCCAAGAATAGGGCAATCGCCGACAAAAATGTGGATACCATAGCGGCGACTTGCATACATCCGTGAGATCAGGCCAAAGCTGCCCTATGTTCTGCTGGTAGCCTTGAGCTAGCAATTCGGTGCTGTCGCCGAGGTGCTCATCAACGCGTTTGCTTCGCACTCGGCTTCGGCGTGGTGGGACAAGCTTTGGACCATGGCTTTGGAATATGCTCATTGCTCAGGTCTCGGTCTGAGCAAGATGTGAACCGTCTATCCCAGAACCACGCTGCTGCACGATTCCCATTTAGGCCGAAGGAGCCATCTTACAATAGCTATCAGCCGGCCGAAAGCAGCAGGTCTGAGGCCAGAATCTGTGAGATAATTACTGGACGGAGCTTGCCGACCACGATAGTATGTGATGCACTGTACATGGCGGCAAAAGCTTCACATCTAGTTGGCAACTTATGCAAGAGGCGCAGGCTGCATTGTGGTCACAGATTTTGTCGTCCGATCCAGCATGATGCTTGAACAGAGGAGAGATCTGCCACATGTAAACCCTGTTATTGGTCCAGGGCACGATCTGGTAGACCGAGCTGACGGGCGTTGTTCTGGACAACCTCGTGGCGATGCAATCGCCCTGACCGTACCTATCACTGTACTACCATCAAATTGCTGGGCCCAGGAACACACAATTTCAGGCACCGATGTCTCGCCTCCTGTCCAGCCTTTGACGTGAACGGCGCTTTCGCTCGAGTGAAGAACTGCTCGAGGTGGACCCAATTGTGGTTCCTGCCAAGACCACCATCCGGCCCTTCTCTTATTACCCAACAACTCTGTTTGGCCCTTCCGCGGCAACTAGAAGTCGTCTTGGGGACGATTTGATCATAGACTACGGCCATCCGAGACCAAGCTTAAAATAGGGTTTGCCTGCGTTGTAGGTTCTGGGCTACTTTCGGCTAGATCACTGGCACGATCGAGTCAAGCGGTACCGTTTTCAGAAGATGTATGTAACCTTATTCTCGGTCTGTGCCGACCAGCTCGCTCGATGCGGCGTGGCGGATATGCCGCGATAGTCGTGTCGCGCCGTTCTTGGTGAAGACGCCTCAGCGTTGGATATGCTCCTACACTTCTTCATGCGACTCAAACCTACGCCGCCGCTACGAAGCTATGGCGTTCGAGACGCTTCAGTGTCGCAGGATATGCTCGAGCCCGTCGATGATAGGCCGCTCACCAGAGGCGTCGGTCGACGATCACCACGCCGACCTGTCAACAATATGGTGAGGTATGTGCTCCTGGTCTCATCACTCTTTTTTTCCTCTTCAGTTGCTTGCTTGTACCTCGCATTCATCTTGACGCGAGACGTTCGTACGTCTACGTGTTCTTTCGTTTCTGGTGCTTGTAGTCGGCAACCAATTGCTGATTACCACCTCCCTCCGTTCAATTTGAAGCTTGGTACCACGACCCGCAGCAACCACCCGAACAATCCGGACCAGCACTACCGACTCAACTCAGTTGATACCAACTTGCAAACGAAACATCAACACATTCGCCTACAGGTCATTCGTCGGCACCTGAGGCCACACCTCGAAGATGGGTGTTCTATCCTATCTCAAGCCCAAGAAGGGCAACCAGGAGGCCGCCGCACCTGAACATGGAAAGACAGAGATGACTGAGAAGAATGGCGTCGAACCCAGCGTGGCTCCTGCTCCTACACCAGAAGCAGGAACTCCAGACACTTGGTCTCGCCCTGCATCGCTCTATCCTTCAGGAGACTTTCGAAACTCTCAGGCAGACATCAACGAGATTAAGTGCGATGTGATGGTCAACTGGCTGTACCAACAGCAGATGGAGCGCCTTTGGACCGCTGGTGGCACTGACGAGGGTGTCATCCTCAAGAAGTCTAGAGGACAATACACTTGTTGCCCAGCAGATATTGCTGACGAGCCATATGGCTTCTTCAAGTCAATCGAGACTCTCAACGTCCGAGTAAGTTTTGAAGTATAGCTGGCGTGCTGCGACAGATTCTAATATCCTCCTAGGTTGCAATGACTGTGAACACCAGAGTCATCAAGCTCTTCCTCCACAACAATCAGCGACCATATGTGCCACTGAAGAACGGCCTTCGCCTGCAGGTTCTCCCAGACATGTCATATCTTCCTCGTTGCCAGAAGCATCAATTCGCCGCTTTCATCGCCGACCGCGGCCTCCTTGTCGTATGGGACGACGAGCCTCGCCATCTCTTAGACCGTGCCCATAAGATCGAAAAGTCTCTCATGGAAATGATTTGGGAAGATGAGTTCGACCCTGACGACAAGAAAGAAGGCAGTGTTGCTGTCCATGAAGTTGGAATGTCTGATACCGACTCCGGCCTGGCTGAGGAAGGATACCAGGAGCCAAAGCGCAACATTGTCCTCTACGAATCAGTGCTCTGCGCCGCTACGCTATTGCTCACTTTCCTGGCCATTGGATCTGGTTTCGTCCATATTGCCGTCGAGACATTCATCGACCACAGCTACATCCGCTTGGCATTCGTCCTGGTCGTGCCGCTTCAGATGTGGCTGGGATTGTTCTTCTTCCAGTCTGTTGTGAACAACGTTGCCCAGCTCATTGGACCCATCTCGCAGATCAATACCAACACCAAGTTCTACTCTGGACTCCGACCAAAGCGACTTCGTCGCGAAGTAGCTGGTTTGCCACATCTTACTATCCAGATGCCGGTGTATAAGGAGGGCCTCACTGCTGTCATTGAACCTACGATCCGATCTATCAAAGCTGCTATCTCCACGTACGAAATGCAAGGCGGTACTGCTAACATCTTCGTCAATGACGACGGTATGCAATTGATCAATGACGATGATGCCCGGGCTCGACAAGACTTTTACGACGAGAACAACATTGGTTGGGTCGCTCGGCCAAAGCACAATCCAAAACCTGCTGAGGGTGAGGAAGCATTTGTGCGTCGTGGAAAGTTCAAGAAAGCTTCTAACATGAACTACGCTCTTTGGGTCAGCAACCGTGTTGAAGAGAAGCTGAACGGCCTCGAACGTCACCAGAACTGGAACCAGGAAGACGAAGCTGGCGCATACCGAGACGCACTTGCGACGATTGTCGAAGAGGACGAAGGCAGGACTTGGGCAGATGGCAACATCAGAATGGGTGACTACATTCTTATCATCGACTCCGATACTCGTGTGCCTACGGACTGTTTCCTGGACGCTGTCTCTGAAATGGAGCACAGTCAACAAGTCGCTATCATCCAGTACACTTCCGGTGTCATGAACGTTACGGACTCCTACTTCGAGAAGGGAATTACCTTCTTCACCAACCTGATCTACACTGCCATCAAATTCGCTGTCGCAAACGGTGATGTTGCTCCTTTCGTTGGCCACAACGCTGTCCTCCGCTGGTCTGCTCTCCAAGCTATCGGCTACGAATGTAAGAATGACAGTCGCGAGAAGTTCTGGTCCGAAGACACTGTATCGGAAGATTTCGACATGGCTCTCCGTCTGCAAACCGCTGGCTACGTCGTCCGTCTCGCTGCATACCAAGGAACCGGTTTCAAGGAGGGTGTCTCGCTCACTGTCTACGACGAGCTTGCACGTTGGGAGAAGTATGCATACGGCTGCTCGGAACTCATCTTCCACCCTTTCCGCTACTGGTTTACTCGAGGACCATTCACCAAGCTCTTCCGCAACTTCATCTGCTCATCCATGCCTTTGCCATCGAAGTTCACCATCATGGCATACATTGGTACCTACTACGCCCTTGGCTCAGCTTGGATTCTTACAGTTGCCAATTACTTCTTGACTGGCTGGTTCAATGGAGCCCTCGACCACTACTACATCGACTCCTTCAAGATTTACTTCGCCATCATCATCATCTTCTCCGGACTTGGTAACGTGTCTCTTGCTGTTCTCCGCTACCGTCTCGGCGAAGGCAGCATCGTGCGCAACATTTTCGAGAACTTCAGCTGGGTCCCACTTTTGATGATCTTCCTCGGGGGTGTCTCGCTCCACGTATCGCAAGCCATCTTGTCGCACTTGTTCAGCGTAGACATGAACTGGGGAGCGACGAGCAAGGAAGCCGAAAACACAACCTTCTTCAAGGAAATTCCCAAGGTCATCAAGAAGTTTAAGGGGACATTTGTTTTCGTGTTTGGCGCGACAGCAATGATTGTTGTACTGGCTTGCTTCACACCCTACTTCTGGAAGATCGACACCTTCATTGCGATTTATCCACTGGGAACCGTCATCGTTGGACACTTCCTACTACCAGTGGCTCTCAACCCAGGTTTGATGAGATTTACCTGGTAATGGGCGTGTCACACTTTTTGCTTTTGCGATTTTGGCAAGCGTTGCATGGGATCATAGAGGCTGGCGATACGAGGATACGATGGCTACCACCAAGTCGTTGACATACGACATGACTTTACATCATGATAGACTGCTACTGTTCAAATCCACACTTGTACAGATCACCACCACATCTTCCCGAGGCATGTCACTGAAGACAATCACTGACCCGAATTGGCAGACGTGCTGTAGCCATTGTAGCCCGACTGATCTCAAATTCCAGGAGCCAAAGACTCGCGGGTGGTGGTGCAAAGTATTTGTTAGGATTAGGAGTGGTAGCAAAAGTAAGGTATTGTCGTATGCAGAATGTCGCGCCAACCCGTAGAATAGCCGGTGTACGCACTCCTAATTCAGTGCTCTGTGTAACCCACGCCTGCCACTGAATTTTGGTGTCAAACCTAGGCAAATAGGAGCATAAAAGCCAGCTTAGGTATTAAGAACGTTTTCCATCTCTTTCTATATATGTTGTCGCCATTTCAGTAGTATAGCTGGTCCTAGTAGTTGTTTGCTTAGCAACCGTGGTTGCTATAGTACGGCTACTACTCCACTAGGTCTAGGAACTTCTCCGGCTCTTTGACACTACCAATCTCTCGAACAATGAGATCTCCTTATGGCTGAACCTGTCTAGGCGCACTGTCGACAAGATCCATAATACGTACGAGCTGTTTAGTGTGCCGTACCTACGCGATTTGAGTCGACTCGGTCGGAAGCGCGTATTGCGACTATTATATAAGCAGGTATGTATATTTGGTAGAAAATCGCGACCGTAGCTAATAATAGTAGTGTTAGCGTATTCTCGACTTCCTCGATAGCTATCCTTGCGCCTACTAAGACGAGATTATCTAGTATCTGTATAATATATTCGATGTAGTTGTTAGTTAGTCGACGGTCTCTCGTACGCTAAAGCGCAACAAATAGACGAAGAAGGTGTATTAGCGCAGGGCTCTCGAGCGCAATAAGGAGTTACGTGAGGACTTCGAAGAGTAGCAATAAGGCAAGGACCCGGATAAGATATATTGTGTCGATAAGAGTAGTACGAATAAGCGCACTAGATAGCGGAAGACTAGATACTCGTAGGTTAATAAACTATACGAGTATAACGGCTCAACTAAGCGCTTAAAGAGGTAGAGTGTCCTACTAGCAATAACCTCGCGTAGTTATCTCGAAGGCACCCTCTATATCTAAGGATCTATTACTGCCGCTATATTCGAATACTAGCTCGAGTTTACCGTTATTCCTCAGCTCAGCGGTCTAGGTTAGTGGATTGTAATAGACAACGCGCCTATCTATCGTTCTTAACGCGTTAAAGACCTCTACGCCGCAGCGGGTATTAACCTTAAGTACTTGCCGCTATACTCGCTAGATTACAACCTAATTAAGATCTTATTCGCAAGCCTAAAGAGCTGGATCAAACACCATTTCGAGGAATACGCTGTCTTCGAGAACTTCGGCTACTTCGTTAAGTATGCTATTATAGAGGTCAGCAGCAACAGTATTACTAAGCACGTAGCAGGGTAGTTCTAGAGGTGCGGTTATCGTAGTTAATTAGTTAAAGACGATAACCGCTATTGTATATAACTAACTACAGTTACTTATTCAGTTATAGACTCGCTTATTCCTACGATAGTCTCTAGCTTAGTAATACGAGCCTTTAAGTCTTCTATCTCTCGTCTTATCTCTTCTATAATAGCACGCGCAACCTTAGTAGCTTGCTCCTTTATAATCGCTTCTATATACTATAGATCTGGCAATACTAGCTATAGTAACGAGCTCCTCGTTAGTAGTAACGAGGGCACAACGGTAGACGAGTCGACAATATCCTTATTACCCTAACTGTCGGCAATCTAGTCGAGAAGTTAGCTAAATCTATTAGCATACCTAATTACTATACCTCTAATGTACCCCTAGTGTTTATTGCGATGAAAGAGCCTAGAATTTAGTGGGTTTAGTACTGTTTCTTATCGCTAGTATTACTTCGAGGCTATTTGAGCTAGCGCCGTTAGTATATCGCTTTGTTCGCGGCCTCGAGTCGCGTTTGTCCGGAGAGAAGCCGCTTAGTAAGCGCGAATCCACAACGACTAATAGGGCATTACTATAACACTACTATAACATATCTATATTATCTCTTCGGTAGGAAGTACTACTATCGATGCCGCTAAGCAACCTCCCGTTGTCTGTTTAAAAAAATATGCACTTATAGTAAAGAAACAGCGCTTTTAAGATCTCGGAAGTTCGCGACTTTCCGATAACTTCTCTACCGGCAATTTCCGTTAAGACCGCCGAAAGCTCGGCTTCCGCGGAAAGCCGGGGTTAGTACGCGAAGCCGCGATTAACTAGCGACAACGGTCGTATATAACAACACCACTACGCAAGGTAATTAATATATTTCTAACTGTGATCCGACGCGCTTAATAGCGACGAAGAACCTCCCGTTTACGCCGTACAAAAATACCTAATGCTCGCTAAGATATACGACGTTAAAGAAAGTACTAAATCTCGCCTTTGCGAAGCCGACCCTCGACTTATAGCAGTCTACGCGCCACCGTTCTAAAATAACTCTTCCTATAGCGATCGCTCGTTCTTATCGTACTTACGCAACACATACATTAGCCGACCGTATTAGCTATCCTTTAAACCCTATTCTATCTACCTAGAGTGCGGCATAGTTGCCAATTAGTCTAGGCTATAGTCTCTTATACTTAGAGCGTCGTAGATTATACGAATATCAGTTTTGCGGCTTCGCTAGCCGTTACGGTCTTATCGCTTTAACTAGTTAAAGAACACTAGCAATTAGACGTCCGGCGGCGTTACTATATGTCTAGGTTTACCTATAATCGGACTAGAAGGAGCTATAGTGCTTGACCTAACTAGACTAGACTCGGAAGTACGTCGTTTCTTTATAGGGCCGCCCTTACTGTAACCGCCGAGATGGTTGTATATTACAACCCCTATAGCGCTATCTATAGCGCGGGCCTTAGTTGCAAATGGATTGCTATTGCTGTCCTTACGGGCCTTCTGTCTTATTAACCTGCTAACTATCTCTTTACCTAGACGGCTTATAGTGACTACTAGCACGTCCGCTCGGAATTGGCCTATTCGAATAAGCTTAGCCTATCTAATTATAGCATTAGGGCCTATTTTGACGTAGTTCTCGTACCGCTTCTTGCCATTAATCTAATAGTGGCCGCTATAATTCTTACAAAGTTAGTCTATATAGGCCTATCGATTATGTAAGGCACTGCGATAGTTACCGCTCGGTATAGGCGTGTCGTCGTTGTCTATCTCATTATTTAGGTCTAGGTCGTTCTCGCTGCTAGCAGCCGCCTAAGAGGCCCTCAATTTACGCAGAGCTTGTTATATAGCTATATTCTAACGCGGAGTATTAGTTGTCGCTGCCGCCGTTGCTAGAGTCTTTAGTAGTAGTAGCTTCTTAGTTAATATAACCTTTAACTGAAGAAGAAGGCCCTTCTTGCCTGCCTAGTGCTATTCTTCCAGTTGTTTAAGAGCCCTTCGAATAGACCCCCTAGTTATAGTAGTCTCGAGGTAAGTCGGACAACGACTAGCCTTCGCAATAGTCTTAAAGCGTACATTCTTCTCGAAGGTCTCACTCGTTATATTAAGCGTTGTCTACTAACTACGCTTCTACTCGGACTAAAGGTCTCTATGCTTAGCACTATCGTTATCCGAAGAGATCTTCTGCGGCTTACTAGCGAGCGTATCGCGGCTATACGAGATAGTCTATAGAAGCGACAGCGTCTAATCGACTACCTCTTACTATTGTTCTATATCCTTATCTTCTTTAGCGCCTTCTATATAGTCTTCTTCATTAGCGGCAACAGTGCCTTCCTCGTTAGTCGCTATAGAGCCTTCCTCGTTTACCGCTGTAGAGCCTTCCTCGTTTACCGCTGTAGAGCCTTCCTTATTTACCGCTATAGAGCCTTCCTTACTATCGCTTCTAGTAGCGGCATCGAGCAGAATATCGTCTTCTATAGATGCTACTAGCTCCTTACGGCGGCGAGGGCGACGTGCTTCCTTTATCTAACTTAGCTTGACGATATTATATATAGGTAGCTGTCGGTCGCGGTCCGGAGGCTTTATTAAAGGCGGCGTAGATTAAACGACAGGCTCGAGATTAGCCTCCTTCTTAAACCTAATCGACACTATAAACAACACTAGGCTAGAAGGAGCAGTCTGCTTACCGCTAACCTACTATTTACTAACAAATTTGCAGTAGAGCCTAGGTGTGGTATATAGCGGCTGTTCTACGGGTTAGCGCGACATTCTACATACTATAGTACCCTAGTTAACAGCGGTCGATAGCAGAGTTCAATTTGTATATAGAATATTGTTATCGGGACGGCGCTTCGGCTGCACCTAACTACTGTGTTTTGCGTTAAGGTTGAGAATGCTAAGAACCTCGTAATCTCGATGCCTGTCTATACTGTTTCTTAGCGATTAGGTCGATAGAGTATAGACATATCCTTATACCGCTTTTAAGATGTCCTTAATAGGCAGTATACCTCTAGAGATAGCATATATCGTCGCTACGGTCTACGTTGCTAGTAATCTCCTACTAGTCTATTATCTCTTAATAGCGCTAAAACTGCCGAAGAATCCGCCTACTATAGCTCGTACGAGTCGATCGCGTAAACTAGTCGAGAAGGAGCTACTAGCGTATAAGGACGCTATTATAAGGCGCGAGTTGCTAAAGAAGAAGAAGACGAAGGTAAAGAAGTCGGCGGCGGCGACGGCGATAGCGGCGGCACTAAAGAAGTTTAGTAAGGCGCGCGCATTCGATATAGACACGTAGAAGGAGTTCTCGAAGTAGGTAGACGACGGCGCCTCGATAGCGGTTAGTAACGAGAATGTTAGTATAGAAGGATAAGTTAAGCCTAGCGAGTTAACGGCTATAGGTAAGGCCGCGCCTGCCTCGAAGTTAGTATAACGCCTTATAAAATAGTAATTAGTAGATAAGGAAGATATCGAGACGGCCTCGTACGATAGTCGAGACGACCTACGCTATAAGTAGTGCTAGCGCCTTCTTAATAGCAATTAAGTACTTAGAACTAAGAATAAGGAGTAGTCTAGCGCCGCTACTTAACCTACTAAGGATGCCTTCTACTAGGCAGTCGATAAAGCTAAGAAATAAGGTCTCTTTATAGGAAGCTATATACTAGTCGTATCCGCTACGAGTATAAAGAAGTTAGAGTAGTTCTATTAAAGTTAGAAACAGAATAGTAAGCTTAACGGCTAATCGTTGTTCCTTCTAAGATTAGTTATATACTAATATCTCTCGTAGCTAAGGACTATAGCAAGGCTCTTAATACTACTATCGAGTTTGTATACGAGGCTCGCGATAAGATCCGGATTGATATTGAATTTAAGACGGCTCTAAAGGACGCTCTTGCTAGCGCTGTTCTTAAGGTCTTAAAACTAAAGCTAAACGAATAGTAGGCTACTAACGGCCTTGCCTTTATTGCTAAGGAGCGTAGATCTAGCAATTATAAGACTAAGCTCTAAGCTAACTATATATATACTCTCTCTAGTTATAAGAACTATAGCGGCTTCTGCTATTATCCTAAGAATACTCCGAATACGGACACCTATTATTACTAGTT